CCGTCATGTACCTGGAAGTTTGGGTTGGCAAAATTGAGTAAGAGAGGGACTTGAAAAACCTTGGTGGCTCGCTACTCATGTTGTTACAGTTGTCTTGGTTACAGCTCTCAAGTTTTTTTTGTTGCCATTTCCACATCTTTAGAAAATATGAAATAAAAAATTGAAGTGAAATCAACCACTTCTCTGGAGAACAAACTTTGATTTCTCTGTCTTGTGAGTTTGCAGTCTTGCAGTTTTGCTCCTTCACCTGTAACATCACTGCCCCTCCACCTGCCATACAGTAGGTTACTAACAAGATTACTTAGATAATACAGTGATAGAATACATGTTTAGTATGCTTGCTTATATAAAACAGTAGTATTAAACTTACCTTGTGTTTTCACTCTCACTTAAGTCCCTCTCCCTTTGCCATCAATCCAAAATCAGCTGAGCTGCAACATTATACAGACAGGTAATAATCAACATAATCACAAGGACACAATATGGCTCTGCTAAAAACACTCACTCTTACACGCACCAAAGTTATATTTATCTAATATTTAACTCCCTCCACCCCCGCATATAATCCCGTTTAGAAGCCCCTCTTCTCTAATTCAACAACGTTGGACCAAATAGACATTAAGAGAACGGAATTTACAATTAAAAGGCTGTTCAACGTGTGTTGCTAACTTGCTTCGGTATCCTAGTTTAATCTGTTATCTGTAAACGTTCCCTAAATCTACTAATTTAGGGATAATCCACTGACACATGTTAATTTGAATCAGATGTACTGATAATATCCGCAATATAAATCTTTAAACTTCTTCTTACCTTTAAAAGTCCGTCACGAACGGTCTATTATGCTGCAACTCTACAGCTCTGCTAGCCTTGGCGCTAACTTCCGGGGAACGATTGAGAGGCTCCACGATCCGCCATTGCTGTAAAAAAGTGGTCCATTGGAGTGAACGGAGATGACATAACTCTCAGACTATATGGCGCTGGTTTAGCCCAAACACCTGTCATTGTGAAGGGGGTCCACGTAGACGTTGGGCGGCAGCCGGTAAACTGCCCAGATAAAAATCGCTAATGTCGGAACAACTGAATATATCACAAACTTCAGCCAAAGCAGATTAAACAATATGATTGAGAACCGATCACAATCGTCAAAAGGTAAAAATAAGTGTGTTTTTCAATACTGTATCAATACTATGAGGTTTAAAAAAAGGTAATTAGCGTGTTAGCATGCTAGCAACATTAGCATGCTAGCAACATTACCATAGACTGTTTAATCTAAGCTAGTGCTAGAAAAATAACACTAAAAATGCTACAGTGTAAAAATGCTCTGCAACATGTATTAGACCTGAATTCAAAAAGTACCGAACCAAGGTAAAGGTACTCATTATGCAATTGTTCCTATTTCAGAATAATATATCCATCGTTTTATTATGTTACTGGATTAACATTTTTGATGCGTTAAAGAAACATCACTTTAATGTTGAAGCTGGTATGGTGGGGCTTATTTGAATAACTTTACAATTCTACTGGTTAACTAAACTGAATGAGCTGAATGAATCTGTGATCATATATAAATATTCATTAAAAAAACGTAGTAACCAAATACCTTTTATAAATGTACTAGAGTAAATGTACACTTTCCCCTCTGAATTGTAGTGGGATAGAAGTACATAGTAGCAAAAGATTGAAATACTCAAGTAAAGTACACATCTCTCAAAATTGTGAAAGTACCATATAATTAAGATACTACGTTCACGTATCTCAATATTGTACATCATCATCATCATCATCATCATCATCATCATCATCATTTAAGTCTATATTATATTTAGTTACACTCCACCAATGTTGTTAGCTATTGTTGGTGGATAAGAGAAGCCTAACTTGGTAAGAGATCAATTATCTTTCAGTTCATTAAAGTGAATGAGGAGACATTTGAATTTATGAGACAAAGAGGACCAAAAAACTCTATTTGGACCCTAGGGAGTGGAGGTCTCCCGCCTGCTGCAGCTGGTCTTTCCTGAAGCGTCCATCCTCTGCATCCTGCCTCTTACCCCGGCCCTGTTTCAGGTGACATGACATGGACGTGTGAGTACTTCAAGCCAATATTAAACGTTTGTTTATTTTGGTAGCTTGCACTAGAAGGTTAACCGGCTATGTATTTAACATCACCACGCTCCCAAGCTACTACGCAGACCTATATCACTTAATTAAATGTCCAAATATGTAACTTTTGTGTTGCACTACATGTTTTTTAATGAACTATCAGTAATCATTATTACTGATTTATCTATTTATTTATTTAAACCTTGCATGCAAAAAAGAGAAATATGTAATTTACTTTCTTGTCCAGTTAGTGTCTGTCGAGCAGCCAAAAATCAACTCAAGTATTGGCCTGCATTAGTCTTGTGTTATATTATATTAGGACAACCAGTTTAAAGCTTTTGTTCATCTGTGATATGAAAGAATACTTCCTCCATCACTGGTTAAAACAAGCTCATGTGAGCAATTTTCAAGTTCACAGGGAATTAAAAAAAGACTGATAAAACTATAGGTGGACAGATTTAATTGAAATACTAACTATGTGGTTATATTATTCTTCAATATAACATGTTGTATTCTGCTTGTGGTTCAATGGTTTTTCTTATCTATTGATATTTTTTCCTAAACATTCAACATTATGACGGTTTCTTATATTCCATAAACCTTACCTAAATACACATTCAATTGAATTAATTAACTGCCTAGTAATTGTTAGTTTAGTGCACCTGAAAATCAGCCATCCTCACGTCACTCATATATCCACCTGTTATTTTTCATATTCTTGCTCACTCAAAAAGATGATCACAAAGGCAAACACACACTGACAAAGAAAAACTCTTTTGTGCTCATCACTGGTAAACCTTTTGCTATAGATCAGCTAAAACCTTGACTTTCACCCCACCTTGTGGCCATTTTTTTACATTAACTTCTCCACAGCTGCCAAGCACCAAAAAGAAACTTGAGACCTCGACTTATATCTATCTTTTAATGTGTGGCATAGTGTGACTGTAGACTTCTGTCTTTGCAGTTTGCTTTTCTAAACCTGAGCTTTAATTTAAATTTGCCCTCAACAACATATCAACTATTCTCCTCTATATATTTTAAAAGTAAAATCTTCTCAACTTAGTTTGTATGTGTATGTAAAAAAGCATTTGAGGTATTGTTTCACAGTTACATGGTAAACTGGTGTTAATCAATGGTATTAGTAATGCTGTTATATAAATGAAAAATTAAAGACTATTAAGTACACATAAAGTTACATTTTCCAATTAAGTATAATTCTGCTTTGCCGTACCTTAACAAACATTTCAATTGAAAAACAACAACATTTAGATCAATTAAACTATATTTCCCTGAATCTGCAAGTCTGTTTAAGAATGCATTCTTGTTTTTAGTAGGAGCTTTACCATTAGAGGGAGACTTTTACCTTTATTTTCATTTGTTTAAATTACGAAGCAAACCTGCATCACCCAAACTGCTTCTACATGTCTTAAATGATAGTATGCACTTTAAGTGTTTGATAAAACTGTTAAGGTATATAAGGTGAGATTTAGTTTTACACCTTTGGACACATGAACAGTCCTTATCTGCTTTCAGATATTCTCTCAAGACCACATCCTCCCACATGTCACAGTGGAAAGAATCAATCAATCAATCAATGTTTATTTATATAGCCCAATATCACAAATGTTACATTTGTCTCAGTGGTCTTCACAGTTTGTACAGAATATCAGTATGACAATACGACACCCTCTGTCCTTAGACCCTCACATTGTACAAGGAAAAACTTCCGGAGAAAACCCACAGTTTAAAGGGAAAAATGGGAGAAACCTCAGGGAGAGCAACAGAGGAGGGATCCCTCTCCCAGGACGGACAGACGTGCAATAGATGCCGTGTGTAAATTGAAAAGATAATACATTTGCAACATAGGTAGTCCAAATGTTTGGAAATGCATGTGTGTATAATAGGAAGATGAATCCACGAGGATATCCATCCAGGACTTATGATGCAGGACCACAGCCACGACTCAAGATCCAGGGCTCGCGATCCAGGACACAGGACCGCTGGATCATCCATGACTCCGGATCACGGCGTATATAGACACCAACAAGAAAGACATTTGGGGAAGCTGGGTTAATCGGAACATGAGAGAACACAGGTATAGACAGAGAGAAGGAAGAAGTAAGATGTCCCCCGACAAACTAAGCCTATATCAGCAAAACTAGGGGCTGAATCTAATCAGCCCTAACTATAAGCTTTATCAAAAAGGAAGGTCTTAAGCGCACTCTTAAAAACGGATAGGGTGTCTGCCGCCCGAACACAAACTGGAAGCTGATTCCACAAATGTGGAGCTTGATAAGAAAAGGCTCTGGCTCCCATTGTACTTTTAGAGACTCTAGGAACAACCAACAACCCTGCATTCTTGGAACGCAATGCCCTAGTAGGGCAGTAGGGTATAATGAGTTCTTTAAGGTAAGATGGCGCCTGCCCATTAAGGGCTTTGTAGGCGAGAAGAAGAATTTTAAATTCTATCCTGTGTTCTATAGGGAGCCAGTGTAAGGCAGCCAGAACAGGAGTAATGTGGTCCCTTTTCTTAACTCTGGTTAGTACACGAGCTGCAGCATTTTAAATCAGCTGAAGCGACTTAACTGACTTCTTGGTACACCCTGATAATAAAGAGTTACAATAATTCAGCCTTGAAGTAACAAATGCATGGACTAGTTTCTCTGCATCGTTTTGAGGCAAGATATGCCTGATTTTTGCAATGTTACGTAGATAACAAACAGTTGTGGTGAGTTCGCAGATGGAGAAATCATACGTGATGCTGACATATTTTTACTTTGATCTCACTTTTTTCTAGCCGTGACAGCAGAGCATCAAAACGGAAGTCTTTGAACAGATCCTACATGTAGGTCAGGTTTTTTTAATTCGCTCATAAGCCAAATCATCTGCAGAGACAAAGATTTGTTGTAACGCTCTCTTAATACAGAATGAATAAGTCTTCTTGTACTCGTGTCAGCTTTGACTTTACACACACATTTCTGCCTCCTGTTTACATCTTAGTCTTCATCGTTGGTCTGCTAGCTAATGGATGGGGTTTGAAATCTTTGCTTCAGAAGTGGAAGAAACTGGGAAACATCAATGTTTTTGTTTTCAACCTCGGACTCGCTGATGTTTTGTACCTGTTCACAGTCCCACTTTTGATGGTGTACTACTTTATGGGCAGTAAATGGATCTTTGGAGATGTGCTTTGCAAGATAACAAGATTCTGCTTCAACCTGAATTTGTATGGCAGCATTGGGTTCCTCACTTGTATAAGTGTGTACAGGTACCTGGCTATTGTCCATCCGATGAGAGTTATGGGAAGAATAACTGTCCTCCACTCTGTTGGGATCTCAGTCTTGGTTTGGCTGTTGGTGAGCATTCAAATTGTTCCAGACATGTTCTTCAGCAAAACATTTGGAAACAAGCCTGGGAAATGTTATGATACCACCGGTAAGTTCTACGTCGAGGATTACCTGAAGTACAGCCTTGGATGGACTCTCACTGGGTTTTGTATCCCATTCCTGATTGCTCTGGGCTGCTATGGACATGTGATTGTTGTGCTCTGTCGCACAAACACCACTGACAAGGTACTGAAACAGAGATGCTTGAAGTTGTTGTTCATCTTGATTCTTCTTTACTCCGTTTGTTACATCCCCTATCATGTGTTGAAGAACCTCAACCTCTGGTCAAGAGTACTGTCCAAACAGAGAAAATGCCGTAAATGGTTTGATGGAGTCTACATTGCTCATCAGATAAGTCGTGGCCTTGTGTGTCTGAACAGTGCTCTCAACCCTCTGGTGTACCTCCATGGAGAAGAAAATATTCCTGCTCAACTCGGGCAGCTGCTCCTGCGAGCTCGTGAGACGTTCAGCCGTTTGTCAAACTCCAACTCTGTGCGTGTAGCACAAACTGCAGATGAGGAAATCATATCTTCACATTGACAAATTACGGAATGCCACTTTTCTAGTTGTATGCGTTGACTACAAGATGAATGATGTTGCCTGTTAAATAATTGACATTTTTTATGTTTTTGTAAAACATGACGCAGTTTCAACATGCTGACAAATGTGCTTAAAAACAGGAACTGAAGATTAACCACAGCCTATTACGTTTCACTGTATTCTTTAGAGCAAGGTTTTGGAGCTAAAGTATAATGATTTAATACTGTAGTTGGGTGCAGGGAAGCCCAGTACCATGTGTTATGTGTTATGTGTGTGTATATTGGCTTGAACAGAAACATGTTAGAGAAATAAACCATATCGCAAAAATGTCTGTGTAGATATACCTTTCTTTCTGTCTGTAAATGAAGCACTTGCATTAGTGTAACTGATGAAGTTGTTAAATTATTTGTGCATTTTCTGTGGTTGTATAGCTATATAAATGCATGTAATGTACCTAATACTTTGAAACAGGATTGACACTAACTAGAGTCGGGACTAATAACTGATGTTAGTAATGTACCGCAGTTATAAAGTAGATCAAGGATTTAATCGGCGCCGGTTTACAGTGGTTAATAAGTTAGTTTTGGGTCATAGGCTACACTGTGTAACAGAGCTACAGTCTTACTTACCCAGTTCAACCGTTATTTAAGGTCAGAAATATCGGTTAAATCGGTTTGATTCTGCTTCCAGTATGCAATAGGCTAATGCTTTCTAACTCTACAAAACTGACAATAAGTTTGGTTTTTAAATAAGTCCAGCATCAATGTAATGTTATATATCCAGCTACAAACTGTCACTGTCACTTGTTTATTTAAAATGTATTAACACCCAACAGGTCCAAATTCAATTTGCTTTATAGTTATACTTATGAGATTTGTATAAAAATAAACAAGACATGCTTTTGAAAAAAAGAAACGTCGTCAATCATTTTATTATTTTTGTAACTGTTCACAGGCATTGCAACATACAAACTGATGATAATTAATTGTCAGAAAGAGGGGAAAGCAACATACCATTGTAAAACTAGTTCATGAAACACTATACTGCATGTGAATGATGCAAAGATCCCATTTTTATTTTCTTCAAAAATACATTTCAGTAGATTGAATAGTGCTAATGATTTGAACAGTTTAACGTTATTATGAATAAGACTTAACAACACTATCCTACTGATATATTAATGTTATTTATTATTTCATAGTTTTTGTCCCACTGTAATTTACAGATGTTCTATCTCACTCTTATCAACTCTCCAGCTTACATCATCGTTATCTATTCATTCTTTGACTTTGATGTGGACTTGGTCTTTATCAAACATCCAATGAGACATCTACAAGATACCCAAACTAAAGCAATGATCAGTAAACCAAATGCTACAAAGACTGCTATCACATCTAGACAGTGATAGGCATACCATGGCAACTTGTATGACTCTGTGCGCAGATGGGCTGCACCCTTGTGCCTCATGACGAACTCCATCCAGAAAACGGCACTGTCTATGGGTTTCATTGGTTTGTCAAGATGAAGCTGTGACAGTTTAACCATGTTCTGTTTGTATGGCTTCTTTGGGTCCAGAATATTCTTCAGAGCACTAGTCATAGACTCAACTTCCAAGGTTGTCACTTCAACAATCTCGGCCACTTCCCGGGACTTCAGACGCACCATGTTGTCGTACTGGTCAAAGATGAGAGGAATGCCCAGAACTGGGACACCGTGGTATATGGCCTCGTAAATACCATTAGTACCCCCATGCGTGACAAAAACCTTGGTTTTAGGGTGACCTAGAAGATCATTTTGAGGCAGCCATTCAACCAGCATGGTATTGTTTCCCAGAGATTTTGGTCTTTTCCCCAAGTGTCTCCACACAACCTTTTGGGGGAGGTTTGCAAATGCTGAGGCGATTATCTCCGATATTTCAGGGCCCAGGTCGCTAAGCAGGGTCCCCAGAGTCATTACAATCACCCCATGCTCACCAGAACTCTGCACAAATTCCTCCAAATCTGATGAAAGAGGCTTGGAGGGCTTTCCTTGGAAGCCTCCGATATAGACAACATTGGGCATGGTGGGACGAGGAAACTCAAATGTAAAGTCAGCCCGCATTAGCCAGAGATCAGCACCCTGGATGAGAGACAGGGCGCTGACATCAGGTCCAAAATAATGATCACACACAGCCTGGTAAGGTGGATTCGAGACATAGTGGTACATGTAAGTCATTGCACTTTGCCGGAATACGTTGTAGATTCTCTGGAAAAAGTCCATTTTGTCAGAGAGCTCAGTGAACAATGTAGGGACATAGGAAAGAGGTGATGGAGCAATGGCAAAGTGTCCCTCGCCATTGAAAAGCCAACGCACATTGAAAACCAAGGGAAGCTTGAGATAGTGTGCTAACAGCACTCCACCTGGAAATACAGGGTCAGTCAGAAACATATCATATCCAGTTTCCTGCAGCTCCTTAATAAGTGTCTTATTCTCGAAGATGCTGACAACCACTTGTGCCACAACTTTCTGGTTCTCCCGCATCATGCTGAAAATATTCCTATAAAACTCGAGGAGCCCCCATAGTGAGCCTTTATTCCGACGGATCTCTATCGACCTCTTCAGGAAAGAGGTCATGAAGTCTTGGCTCTCTAAGTTTTGGGATTGTTCCTGGATGATAGTGATGGAGGTGTATTGTTGGGAGAATTCTGAAACGTACCAGCTGGTGGAGGAACGAATAACCGTGATCTGATGGCCCTTTGAATGAAGCGCCTCCAACAGGATTTTCATGTTTAGCCAGTGGCTCCCATCTACCGGATAAACCAGCACTTTTCCACCATCACAACTGGAAGGCAGGGTCGCTGAAAACAGCAGGATGAACGCCAGGGCTGGATATGACCCCATCACTGTATAGGAGACAAAGACATTTTACTGAACAGATTTGCAGTTCATGCTGTGATCAAACTGATAAATTGTCCTCCTATATTTTGAACATCAACTTATCAACAACAAATGTACCATCCAGCTAGGAAGACATGGAGCAACACAGCATTTATTTAGAGTGGTTTCTGGACACCTGACAAATGTGAGTATGATACAATTTGTTAATAAGCTTGATTAACCTTGGTTTTCCTTTTTTTCAGGCTGGTGTTGTGGATGTCATGCCATTTTGTTTTAATTTGTAATTGAGTCACACCTTTATTGTTAACATTGTTTACATAGATAAATCATTATACATTCAATCTCCCAAACAAATAGGAGAAGATCTTTTAATATATTGTTTTTTAGCCTAAAAAATGATACGCATGCTATGTAAGCAATAATGCAGTACCTCTTTTCAACCTGAGTGCTTTCAAATGTCTGATGAGGCCCATCTTTAATATATTTGTCATACTCCCAATCTACAAACATGTTTTGAATTGAATCTATGTTTATTGTGTTTATGATCAGTCTTTGGCCAAACAGTATGTCTTTTCTCAATCTGTCATTGTCCTTTTCTGAGTTTTCTCCTGGAGCTGTTAACCTATAGCACCAATTAACCAAGTTAAAGTCTTTGTGACCCTTAACCTTTAAAGTAAACATCAGTGCCCTGTATTGTAAATTATTAAAAGTGAGCACAGCATGATATTCAATGCAACAGTTATTATCCTAAAATGAAAGCCAACATAGTGACATTGTGGTGTCCACAACAACGAGATCTCATTGCAAAATGCAGCACACAGGACATGGTTAACCACGACCTAGATGACTGAGCTGCAATGCAGACTCACTTTTAAATAAAATGTGAACTGGGGCATGAAAGCTTTGAAAAAACTTTCACATTTGTGTTGTTTAACCTCTTTACACAAGGGAGATTTTTCTAAGTAGCAGAAGTATGTTGAAGCAAAAAGGCCTGTTAATGTAAGTAATGAGCTTGACTGTGAAGAAAATTCCTTTGTACAAACTTAAAATAAAAACTAATTACACATGCAGAAACACACAATTTCTTAGTAAAATAGCTCCTCACCTCAGCCTTCTACCTCAGACCATGAAGAATCCACTGTCCGAGTTTATCAAGGAGCTGTCCTGCTGAGCTGCTGGTAGGAATGCAAGTCAATGTATAACTGCATGATCCTGACTTAACCTTTGTGCTGCCTGTTTATCCAAACAAATGCAACCATGCGTAGGTCCCCTCTAAACCCTCCGCCCATTTTCCCCCCTGTTCTAACTGTTATGCTTCTCTGGAGCAAACACCATCTGGATATCATTTTACAAACTTCTGGAATGTTTTAGAGCTCTGATGCTTTCAACGCAACATCAAAGTGCACACCAATAGTTTTTAGATTCATAAACTGTAAAGTGTGTCTTTAGATAGATAGATACATACTTTAGTCCTTTAGTACTCTTTTCACTTTTTTAATGAAGAAAAACAATTGATTTCTCTTCCTCCTCTTCTATATAGTTGTACAGAGTAAACTTAGTCTGGTAACTTTGTTTCTAAGTACCTTTCTAAGTAAACAATGTCATGTTCCCGTATGTCTGGATGACCTTTGAATTGTTCAAGAATGAGTACATCATCTCGCATGGCCAGGTAACTTCACTTTCAGCAATGGTTAACTTTTTGGCACTGTCTTTTCCCCCACATTGAGAGGTTTTACACAATAGTTTCCCTGCTTTTAATTATTTGCTTTAAAACACTAAAGTCTATCTATATCTGCTCTCTAAAGATCTGTTTCCATCTTCGGCTTGTTCAGAGGAATACTGCACAGTTCATCTCGTTAGATAAAAAGGCCTGCAGAACAGTCTGTGTCTTTATTTGGGACCTTTCATATGTGCTGTACCTGCTACTGCCTTCTGAGAGAAATCTCTCGCATAGAAAAGACAAAAAACACAAAGCTTTTGTGGCCCATTTTATTTGACATTTCATCTGAGCCAGTTAGAGCATCTAAGCTATGGTTTCGCTATATCCTTTGTACTGCGTCTTGCAATGATGTGTGGTTGTGCCCTGAATAACAAATAAGATGTGTCTTAATCAGATAAGTGAGACCATTTCTGCTGAGAAAACCATATTGTCCATGTGCAACACACACTTTGTAAATAAAATAGTTGCTCACCTTAGACTTCTCCCTCAGGAAGAATCAAAAGGGTCTTCAATTAACTGTCCTGCTGAGATGCTGGTAAATAATGGATAAATGAATAACTACTTTTTCGCTGTCCGTTCATCCAAACAAATACAACCATGCGGACGTCCCCCAATAACCCTCTACCCAAATCTGCACACAAGGAAAACATTTGATCAGAAAGTTCAAAAGTATTTGTATGACTCCAGAGGGAGCTGCAAAGAGTCGGGTATATTGCCTTTTTGAAGTCCCTTATTCTAAACAGCCAGTTAGAAGCACATTGTTCTTAAACAATTCAAAACACAGAAAAACTGTAGATCATCAAAACAATTCTAGGAGAATTGATGGTGGGTAAGTCAGCCTCAGAAAGAGGACACCAAACTTTCAAATCTTAAAGGGGCCCTAATTTTGCTATTTTCAGGTTCATATCAGTATGTAGTGTCTCTACTGGGACATGTCTCCATGCTTTAATGTTCAAAAAGCCCTTTATTTGTCTCATACTGCCTGTGCTGCAGCACCTCTTTTCACCCTCTGTCTGAAACCAGAGCCCAGTCTGCTCTGATTGGTTTGCTGGCCGGCTCTGTTGTGATTGGTCAACCGCTTAGAGATGTCCCGCCCCTTAGCCATCACGTACAATGTGTTGAAGCCCGAGCCAATAGAAGCGCGATTGTTACATAGTGATGTCAGTATCTCACGGAAGTAAACAAAGGAGTCCAATAGAGGCGTTTTTAGGCACAAACACCTATATAACACACTACAGGAAAAGGAACAAAACTAAATCATAATAGAGTCCCTTTAAGACAAACATGGTAATCTCTTAAAAAATCATGCTTGCTGGTTTTTCTTTGTTCACTTTTTTTTGTCGTCTTCTGATTGACATTCGTAGAATTTCGTGTAGGTATTTAAGGTTTTGTGCACTTGTTTGAAGAGTACAGTATTTTGTAATAATTAGTATGAACTCGTATAAAGTTAGGATTTTAGATATTATTACATTGTCAATAAACATTTAAGCCATGACTGTTCTGTACTGTAAGGATAAATACTGCAGTGCATCATTTTCAAAGCCATGTCTGAACCTTTGAGTCTTTCTCAAATCCCACCCTCAACAATTGTTGAAGAGTGTATTCAGTGACAGCGTTTCTTACTCTGGACATGCATGATGAGCAGTTTGATTAAATGTCGTCCCCTGTGCAACAACAGTCACCCTTTTAAGTGACCTTTGCACATACGACACGCCCTCTGAGTGCAGCTTCTCCTTCACCATGTGTGTATGTTGTGAACTCTGGCCCTGGCAAACATTAAAGGACAAGCCCAGTGTGCTGCTATCATATGTCACATGTGGCGTGAAAAGAGAGGGCTCGAAGGGTTGGGGGTTGCTTTGGCAGAGGGGTTTAGTTTCTTTAAAAAAAGCATCTATTCCATCGCCACCGGTTTATAATCCAGTGTGTGGATTGTGTCGGACGGCCTTTATCCGCTCTGCTGGTTGCTTCCTTGGAGAGCAGTGCAGAATGGAGCCTCCCCAGCTGGAACACTTGAGGCAGTGCAGGTGTGACAGCGCAGGTGAGCCTCTGCACAGAGCATGCCAAAACAATACATAGAAGACTCCTCGCAGTGGGTTTCTAGTTAAATGTGACATATCCAGGCCATGTGTTCATACGGAGTGCAACATAGATCCAATATGAGGGTAAAAATAGACCTGTGACATATAAGGCCTTGCTTTATGTAGCGAGGAAGTGACTTCCTTGTTGAGTGAAGCAACTGCTCAAGTAGCAGTCACATATAAATAGTAAGAAATAGACAGCAGGTTTAGAGAGTTGCCTGCTATCTAATGGACTCCATTGTTGCTTTTTGTATCTCACTCTCTTTCTTTGTTTATCTAATGATTTGCACACTTACACTTGCGTGAGTGATGACGTGGAGTGATTTTATGAGACAGTTAGAGAACTAACTGCAACTCAAAACAAAAACACATTAAGATGTGATTCAGCAAGGGAATCGTCAGAGAAAGATCTCCTCTCTGAGGAGGCTTTGTAATAGTAACTGGAATTTGCTTTGTTTAGTTTTCCTAGAAAGAGTTATAACTGCTAATGTCTGTGCGTGTGCAGTCTGTGAAAGAGGAGAGCTGGAGAGAGTATTTGGCTTTGTGGCTGTTGTTTGGGACACAATGAACTCCTGTCAGGTCAGACGCCCAATAGAATAGCATGTACGGTACCTTATCTTAATGGTCCAACTCGAGTCAAAACAGGAAGTGGTGGTCATTAGTGCACATCGCTGCCTTTCTAAACGCTGCCCAAGAGAAACAGTCTGTTAGACTTACCGGCTAAAACCGGGTACAGGATGTTCCCCATTTGACATTTATCGATTGAGTTACATTAAGGTTTGAAATTACGTCATTAATGACCTTTTCTTTTTGGATCAGGCAGGGTATGTTCCATATGTCATACACATAAATATCTGCCGACTTTCAGAGCTGGACAAAAGCATTCAAAGAAAATCAAGTATAGTCTGACATTTTGAGGAATAGGCTTCCCTGCTTTCTAGGGTCGGTTAAATTAGTTGATCAACATTGTTTAATTTGAAGCCATACCGTTTTTGTCAGCTTTGTATGAAGACCACAAGAGATAACATTAATCAGTGTGCTTTTGAGGTGCAGATGTTGTTATCTTTGGATACAACAAGACTGGCTGTTTTGAGTCTCTGTGCAACACAAAGTTAGCTCCTGACAGAAGCTTTATCGCTAACAGACGGACGTGAGGTATTTCTCCCCTCGTTAAACCCTCCCATCAGAAAGTGAATAGGCAATAATGTTGAACTATTCCTTTAAGTGAAGATGTTGCAGTATTACTTTCCTTCCGACGCCACTTCCTACTTTTCAGGGAATAGTGTTGAACACACGTCCAACTTTCTATTTGTAAAATATGAGGTTTTCTTGCAAACCAAGTAGTCAAACTTTCATACATAGTTTTTATTTATAGTGTCTTTGTTGCTGGCCTATATGTATAATTTGTGTCATCTTATTTGGTGCATGGTGTTTTTGTTGCTGTTACTGCCCCTCTTACCATAAATGATGTCCACGTCACTGATATTAATAGAGAAGTACTATATAATTCTTATTTACAGGAACTGATGTGCAGATTAATGACTAGTTTCACTTTCAATGCATTTCCTGCTAATGCTTCTGGACTTTTACTGTAATAAAGGATCTGAATCATATTAAAAAGTATCTTGAAATGCATTTAACCCTCCTGTTGTTTTCGGGTCAAATCAGACCGATTTACTACTTTCATCGATCATAACTTTTTTGTTTTACATTCAATTGCATTAAGGCTTTATGATATCCTTCACAGTAGACATTTGAACATATACAATTGCTGATCACCGCTTTCATTGAATTTTGGATGATTTAGTCAACTTTGTAACACCCATGGTGTTCCTGGTCAAAAATGGCCGCCATAAAGAAAAGGAATTAGTAACCATCCGGATCAGATAAAACACATACACGCACAAATAGAGAACCGCAGTGACGCGTCCTAAAACCCGGAAGTAAACTCCTAATTTTCTAATCATAAATCTAGTCGCCAGAAGCAAAATGCTAACTGTAAGGGAAACTTCTGCCGCAATGGAGAGTCAGGACTCAGAGAGACACGAGGAGAGTTGGAGTTTTGATGTCAAACACTGGGTAGAAATATAGATAGATATATCCTTGAAGGAGGGGCTAAAAAACCCGCCTTTCTCCTAATCATTACCAGACATTGGAACCAAAGGCCCCTTTGTATTGCAACTCCTCATGTGCCCAAACTTCTCCCGCACAGGAAGACAGATGACCTCTTGACCTGTGTCCCTCTCTACACAGGAACAGGCAGGAGTATAATCAGATTTAACGAAAAGCATATCTTTGTGATTTAACAGTTTCTCAGAAAGACTGAGAACCTCTAAATACACAGATCGGATTAAAATATTCTCTCACACTAACGTTATGCTATAAACGAACTACAGCAGGGTCGCTGCTTCAACGTCATGCCAACTTAAGTTCCATATCCAAACATACAGATTATAAATGGTACAAGCTGACGCGTTTGTTTTAACAGTTTGCAGGAGGCAGGTACTTGCTTTCAAGCAGAACAGGGCAAACAAACTTAGCGGGAGTGTTTTACGTGTTCGGTGTAATGACGTAAAACGGCCTCGACAACTTCTGTAGTCCTATTCAGCCACTTGTTAACAACCATCGTTTTTCAGACACGTCAACTCTTCAAAAATCACCAGCGGGGTCACTGCTGATGTATTTAATGTCGTAGAACAAAACGTGATCTGTCTCTTCAATTTGTGTCAACCACAGACCTTATTTTGAGCTATTTTCCAAAATCCTATGGAGAAATTGCATTGCTTTTTGTCGAAGGAACCGGACGTGGTAAAAATGCTAACTTACTTCCGGGTTTTACGACGCGTCACTGCGGTTCTCTATACACAGTGGCCGTTTCTCAATCGCGAGAATACTGGCTGTCACTACCCGATCCGCCCCCCTGCCCAATCAGTACTGCGCATGTGCGAGATGGTCCGCCATATTGGACAACTCCGGACCAGTGGCGGTTCTAGACCAATTTGACTGGGGGGGCCACTGGGGGGCCAGTTATTTTCTGAGGGGGGCACAATAAATGCAGGAAAACAAGAAAACAATGCAATACAGTTATTGGTATTTGTTTCAGTACACTTATTTATTTCAGATAGATCTTATAGTTATTACTGTTAGCTTCAGCTTAAGTTATAGTACAATTTTTGCACTAACACCATATCATATTTATATAAAAATAAAGGCAATGAACAGTTACATCTCTACTTTACATAAGGGTGTCTGCACAATCTCACATTACAGCAACAAAATGTTGCGGTTTTTGGCAAACCGAGTACCAGAAAATATACATTTAAAAAAAAATAAATAAAAAAAATGTATTGTTAGGAGGGGCCACATGGCGGACCATCTCGCACATGCGCAGTACCGATCGGGCAGGGGGACGGACCAGAGCCCTAGAGAGATAAGTATAGATAGAGATAGAGAGATTAGTATCTCTAGAGCTCTGGGACGGACCCATGGACGGATCGGGTAGTGTGACCGGTAGTGACACTGGCTTCCAAACCAATATTTCAAGGATGCTACGTCATCGAGTGCCGCCGAAGGACTGTTCCAATCTCCAGCATACTTGGAATTCCACCGAGGCCGCGTCCTTGGTTTGGGGAAATTTCGAGGCTGCACATGGGCAGAGCCCTAGAGAGATAATAATATATATAATAATAATATAATAATATCTATATATAATATAGATAGTATCTCTAGGGCTCTGCACATGGGTAGACTTCACGTCCTAAATCCCCACAATGCTTTGCGCACGGACCAATTTCAAAAACCCTTGCGGAGAATGGCTGAACCGACACAGCACACATTTAAATGTAAGTATGTAGTGGCGTAGAACATGTGTTACATGTAGGGTTGCCAACCGTCCCGTATTAGCCGGGACGTCCCGTATTTGAGCCAAAAGGGGCGTGTCCCGTACGGGACTTTGTTTGTCCCGGACTCCCGTGTAAAGGGAAAAATAAAAATATTTTTCTGTTTGCGCGCAATGCAGTGTGTCTGGCTGCGTGCCTGTGTGTTTGTGTGCTGTATGGGAAGGGCACTAGGACCGCTCAGTTGACAGGGCAGGCACAATGCTCGCACGTGTGTGTGAGATTTTCTCCGGTGGGCCGCGGGCGCGGCATCATTGTTTGTGTGGCATGTCAGCCTGTTCAGTCGTGTGGGAAAATGAGCGCTGCCGGTGGAGGAGGTGATAATGAAAGAGGAGAAGAGAGAGAGGATGTGGTTCTGGGCCCTGGCCCTTCTAAAAAGAAAAGACTTGTGTCTTACAACAAACAGTGGAAGAAAAACACAGTTGGGTAAAGCCCATGAGTGAAGATCTGTCTCGGGTCTTCTGTGTGTGTGTGTGTGTGTGTGTGTGTGTGTGTGTGTGGTGTGTGTGTGTGTGTGTGTGTGTGTGTGTGTGTGTGTGTGTGGTGTGTGTGTGTGTGTGTGTGTGTGTGTGTGTGTGTGTGTGTGTGTGTGTGTGTGTGTGTGAGAGAGAGTCAGTCAGCTGATTGATGGGAAAATGCTGGGAAAATGGTTGAATGATAACATTAAGTCTAATAATGATGTACCGTGCATGTTCACATCATGTATACTTTGCATTACTTAATACCATTTTTCAAATATTTATTTTTTAACATTTTGGACAAAATAGCCAATTGTACATCGAGGTGCCCAGATGTCCCTAGTGCCCACCTATCCGATTTGAACATGCTGATGTACAATGTGATGTAGTAGCCTAATGCAGGTGTAAGATCATTGTGTTTGTATTGTGTTATAGGTATGCATAGTTTTCTATGCATTTTGAGGGTTTTGGGGGGTTTGACCCCTCGAACCCTAGGGGGCTGGCTCCCCCAAAAGAATTAAATAACATAACCCTAACCCTAAAACCGAAATAAAGTAACAAAAAAACTAAATCCGCCAGAAACCCGAAAATCTTCGCGCGCGCGGGGACACATGCATGTGTCCCGTTTCTCCATTTCTGGAAGTTGGCAACCCTAGTTACATGTGTTACATGTGTTAAATATGTTACTTTGTTACATTTGTTTGTTATCACGAAAAATGTGTTCCGTGAAAGTAAAGCAAGTTCATAATTAGATAGACATCGTGAGGTATTTATTTTTGGTACGGTTTATGTTGAAACCGTTAGAGAGAGTGGCACACTTGTTAGCCTGTTCCATTCTTCTTAGTATTCCGTAGCCGTGGCTTGGAAGTATACTTGCTTCGTTTCTGAAGGAAGTTACTTGGAAGTACGCGACTACCAAGCCAGCATCCTCGCGATTCAGAAACGGCCTATATGTGTTATGTGCCCATCTCCCCATGTGAATAACACCTGGCAGTGGCACACACAAACACACACAGAACAATTTGATACATTTCCCGCTTTTATGTGCCCATCCCCCCACATAGATCAAACCTTGCACACGCAATACATGTTCAGTGTCTATTCTTTGTATATTTACTGCAGTTTTTCATGTATACCAGTAGTCTGATACAATATTTACAGTTTGAAAGGGTGTTAAATGAAATGTGGTGATGATATGTTTTTTGTGTTAATGTAATAGCAGTTCAAACAGGGTCGGTCAAATTTGACCGCGAACACCAAAGTAAGGGGGGGAAACAAAGGCAATAGGAGGGTTAAATACATTTAAAGTTAATCTCACTGAAGCATCATCCACTGTGGTTTAACAATGTTAACCCACTCCTCATTGCTATTATTACTACTTTATTTCGGTGAGTTAGCTGATTACCCTAACCCAAAAACACAACATTTTAATATGTTTTTGGAAAAAAACATGAACTACTGTTGCTCATATAATTGCATATTATTGATATGACCCTTACCCACTCTAACCTCTTAGATTGTGCCAGATTTAAGGTATAAACTGCCCTCTAGTGGTAAAAAAGGAGACTCCCCCATCTCCACAGTTAGGTAAACAAACAGCTTGTGCAGTACCCACTATGCTCATTTGTATTCATGAGAGGATCCTCACTTTGTAATACTCGCCTCACAGGACTGTTTGAAGCTGTGTCATCACAACAGGATGTGGATATAAATGCTTCTCTGCTCTCTGACATCACTACAGACAGTTTATCAGCTCCCTTAAGTCCTTAGGAATCATAAAACAGACGAGAGACAGACGAGCAGCATGGCTTCAGGTCCTCCCCCTTCCACCAAGTGCTTCTCCTTGGCAACAGTCAGCTGACCTGCAGTAGGTACAGTTCAGTGAAGCACACAAAGATCACAGAGTGTGCGCTGTCCGTCGCTCACGCTCAATCATGGCTCTCAGCGTGAACAGAGAGCAGAGAAAACTCACACAGACTCCTCTGCTTAAGATCTGGGTGCCATGGGTTGGCTGCAACTTGAACCGCAGGAGAGGATGTAAGTGCAGCTTGAATAGAAGAAGAAGAAGCATCTATTTTGTGTTGCTGCTGTTTGTTCTCTTTCTAATAACTCATGTCTGTTTAAGTGTTTATTTTCTAACACTTCCAGCAGTCATTGGTATGTTTCAATGTGCTGAATCCTTCATGTTTAAGCTCCTGTGAGGGCTACAGGTAGACAGAGAGACAGACAGTAGACTCAGTCATGGGATGACAGCCAGGCCTCTCTGTTCACTGTCTGACGTGGGCCTTTTGAGCATGTTCCTGACACAGTGTACTCCATTCATAATCCCACGGCCTGGAGGCTCTCCCTGTTCTGCATAGTCACACACTGGACCATCCGGGTACTTTGTGCAGTCTGCCTTTATAATGCAGTGTTTTAGACGGACAAGCATTCAACAACTGCGTAATGACTAAACCAATTTAACACAAGGCTGATGCTCTTATGCTGAATGATGTGTCACAGTAATGCTTACATTTTTAGCAGCATTCATTGACTATAGCTACATGTTAATGCATTTGTCTTCCATCAGCCTCGGTGCCTCAGTTCTGTAACTCTCCCACGATGATTGTGATGGTGGGGCTGCCAGCCAGAGGGAAGACGTACATCTCCAAGAAGCTAACTCGCTACCTGAACTGGATCGGGGTGCCCACAAAATGTCAGTGACAGTGAATCCTGTTGAAATCTATGAATGAGACAAGAAGTGTTTCATGTTTAAAGTTGATTGGATAATCAAACATTCAACATAAGTTTTTCTTGCCCTAAAAAGGAATATGTTTTTTTTTTCTAATCTCTGTTCCCATTATTTAACTAGCGTTTAACGTGGGCCAGTACCGGAGGGAGGCTGTGAAGGTCTACAAGGACTTTGAGTTCTTTAATCCCGAAAATGAGGAGGCCATGAAGATACGCAAGTAAGAAGGACAGTTTATAATGAAGTTTTATATGTTGCTGCTGATTTGTCTACATCTGTCATTATTCTTGCCACCTTCATTATTCTCCCATATTCTCCCATAGTTTTTGCTCCATTGCCCATGTAGGAGCAAACACAGTGGTGGTGGTGGCTTAAAGCCCACCTCTGCTCCGCGCCGTCCGTTAGATGAGCCTGGTCAGATTAATAAGAGAAGGAGTTCAAAACACCGGAATAAAAGTTATAACAATAATCTGATTTTAATGGTAAAAAACATCAATACAAGTTACAGAGTACTCTGGACTCCCAGTTCTACTGCCGTGTAGATATCGGGACCAGCCAGTCAGAAACAGGGGGCATTTTGCATGACAGTAGGCTATATATAGACATATTTGGGGCGGAGATGTGTGCCGGCTCTGCCGACCCATTTTACTCCTAAGCGAATCAGAGAGTCCGTGGGTAGGAGTTGTGTCGGACTCGGCTGCTCACTCCCCTAGGTGTTATTTACTGGTTGGATTCACTTTGGGTCGGGCCCAATACAGCGAATCAGAGTTCTGGGAAAAAGTATTTTTCTTCTGAACAGAGCGTGAGAGCTTCGGAAGTAAACAAGGACAGATACCTCATTCACACCAACGGTGTTTCAGGGCCGATTCGGAGCTAGAGCTTGAAAAGCACCGGGTTTTCCTCTTCACACCGCAGCGGAGCAGCCTCTTAGCTCCGGAATCCGGTTCGTTTCAAGCACCAACAAATTGTCCGGCCAGAGCAAAAGCACCACACGTCACGCTTACGTCGAGGCGGGGGCAGGGGCAGAGACAGATCAACTCCTGAACAACAACAAAAAGCCCGCGTTTTATCCAGTTTGTACACAACGATAGAGAAACTTAACAAGAGTTTCAGAGTGTCAGTGTTTCTGCCATAGACTGTATATATAAAGGTTTCTGCTCATGGTGAAGCAACGTGTCTGCGTGTTAAAGTGGAACCTGAGCATTCACGTTGATCACCTCTCATTATAACTCATTATAAATCTATAAAACTATAAATATTAAACTTTACTTCACGTGTTCATTTGAGAACAGCTGTTACATACCTGGGTGAAGGTTACGGTTCATTTAAATGAAAGATACAACGTTACTCCACACTCATGGTTCAGTCCACCTTAAGAAATAACCTCGGAAGCAGTTGTGTTTTAAAAAAACCTTTATTGACACGAGTACACTTTTTTATAAGAATATAACTAAACCACAGAAATGACTCCGGAAAAGCAGCAGATAGAGCCATAAGAAATGAATGCAACTGATTTCATCCGCGCGGTTTGGCTTTATGAAGCAGGCACGCAAACGGTTACGTCATGACGCAAACGATAACGCAACGACGCAGCACCAGTCGGACTCTGGGCGGTGTGAAAAGAGCCAGAGCTAAACCGAAGAACTGGTTCTGAACCTGAAAAGCTCTAGCACGGAGCTTGAACCGGAGTTGCGTTGGTGTGAATGAGGTATGAGTCACTTTTTATCTTGCACCTGAGTTCACTCCTTTACTTTCCCAAGGAATATTTCACACAAACTCTATTCTTTCCTAAACAATCAAACATTATACACAGATATATTGGTGCCTGAGATTATATTGACCCAGATTGAACCTTGAAAAGAATATGTGTGTGTGCTGGTGGAAGGAGGTGTATGTGTGTGTAGCAGGGTATCTGGGTCATTGAGTGTAAGTGAGAAGGTTATATATAGGATTACTTAAAACAGTCCAAAATAATACATGTTTACTTCAATACAGTTCAAGATAATACCTGTTTACTTTAATACAGTTTAAAACAATATCTGTTGACTTTACCCATCAGAGTTTCTCCTCTCTTTTAGGGCCTGTGCATCAGCCGCTCTCAAAGATGTTGCTGCGTACTTCTCAAAGGAACAGGGACAAGCCGCCGTGAGTGAAACTAAAACTGTCCCTCTCATTACAATTAAACATAATGAATAATTCATTTTGTATGTATGTCTTACTCATGACTTATACAGTCAGTTATCCCTGAGATAAAAAGTGCACTCCACACCTTGATATTTTTATCCAGGTATTTGATGCCACCAACACCACCAGGGAGCGGAGGGCAGTCATCCTGAGTTATGCGAAAGAGAGGGGCTACAAAGTGAGCTTAAACATGCATGTGACATTTTGGGGGGAATGTGCTTATTCTGTTTCTTGCCAAGAGATGCATGAAAAGATTGTTAACACTCTTGTATCTTTCTGTTTAATTTGAAGCTAGAGCTAGCAGGTTGTTCTCTTGGTTTAGCACAAAGACTGGGGGAATAGCTTCTCAAATGTAATACTATACCTTTAGGAGAAAGAATCAAATACACATGGTCACAATGGGAAAAAAGAAAATATATGTTTTATTTCATAAATGTAACTTTTGAATGACTTCCTGTATTCAGGTGTTCTTTGTGGAATCAATCTGCGATGACCCGGAAATCATTGCAGAGAATATTAAGGTCAGTCGATGATAATGTTTTTCTTTTTTATTCTAAATGTTTGCAGATACTGTATGGATGTAGTTTTCACAATTACAATTCAAAACGGTCTTTTCTTTTCAGCAAGTGAAACTGGGGAGTCCAGATTACGTGGATCGTGACGAAGACGAGGCGATGAAAGACTTCAGCCGGCGCATCGACTGTTACAAGTCCAGCTACATGCCCATCGACGATGAGAAGGACAGGTACTGACCCATGATGCATTTCTTCCTGTGAGATTAAAACAATACTCTGTAAAAACATTTGTTTTACCTTTAAACCGGGACAAATTCATGTAAAGGTCCCCTATTTTCATCTATTTATTATAGGTCTCATATATACACAAAACATGTCTCTGAAGTGTTTGGCTCGAAACACCAAACAGATCATTGCAGCATCCCATAATCCCCTCTGTTTCAGCCCTGTTTCCAAAGTGCTGATTCTCTGTCTGTTACTTTAGATGAAAATAAGGAGCCCCTCCCCACGCCCCTCTGAGAGACATTTGGTTACAAAGAACACAATGGTGCTCTAGGAGGAGATTCAGGTGATAAGGGGGGGGGGGGGTTACCTTGGTTGGTGATTGGCTAATGGTTACACAAGCCAAAACATCGTTATGACATCATAAAGTGGCCAAAACCTGATCAGCTCATTTTCAGACAGGTTTTTATAGAAATGGATCAGGACCAAAAGAGAGAGAATCTTTGTTCCTGAAACTTTCAGAATCTCTTCACACAGAGGGGAAACATGTTTATGTATAAAATACAGTAAAAAGTGGATTTTATATAATAGGTGAACTTTAATAGTTTGTTTTCCCCAATGCTGACTTAAAACAGGAAGCTGTCCTACATCAAGATCTTCAACGTGGGCAGCCGGTACCTGGTGAACCGGGTCCAGGACCACATCCAGAGCCGGATCGTGTATTACCTCATGAACATCCACGTCACCCCGAGGTCCATCTACCTGAGCCGCCACGGAGAGAGCGAGCTCAACCTGTCAGGTCGCATCGGGGGGGACTCCGGCCTCTCCCCTAGAGGACACAAGGTGAGGAGATTACACGACATTCAAGATTTCAAAGATTTAAAGGTTTTATTGTCATATGCACATAAGCTACAGTGTAGAAATGGCAATGACATGTTTCTGACCTGAGCTCCTTCAACAATCCAACATATATAATAAAATCCAAAATAAAAAGTAGTGCAAAAAGTCTATAAACATGTCAATAGAATATGGGATATGTACATCTGTGGATGACTGAATTCATTTGAAGCAGTACAAATGCACAAATGCTCCTTTTTAAATGTTACTTAAATGTCCCCTATTATGCAAAATGCTGTTTTTAATATCTTTGATACAGATATATGTCTCCCCTGTGACTCAGAAAGCTCTATAAAAGCAAGATTTGACTGTTGTATTTGGTTAAGATGATCAGACCAAAACTAAATATTATTTTTGTTATGAAATAATTGCTTAATATTTCCTCCATTCATTTATGAATTGCTTGGTTGGAGTTAATTATCTCAAAAACTCAAACATCTAATTCATTACAAATCTTTTTTTTTATAAAAGAAGTAAAAAAACAGCAAATCATGTTCAAGTTTAATCCTTTCTTGCAAACTGTATAATAACATGTTTATATTCCACTTATTGTTTCCAGTATGCGAAGGGTTTGGCGACCTTCATCAGAGGTCAGAACATCAAGGAGCTGAAGGTGTGGACGAGTCACATGAAGAGGACCATCCAGACCGCCGAGGCTCTGGGGGTCCCGTACGAGCAGTGGAAGGCTCTCAATGAGATAGACGCTGTGAGTTCATTCATAATAAATGATTAGGCTTCATTTTATGTTTTTCAAAGGTGCAGTCATGGTTGAATGAATTAGCTCTTCAAATCATTACGTTGACTTTCGAGCTCTACATTTTTTAAAGAGGCCCTATTACTGTATGCTTTTTGGGGTTCTCCCTTTTCTGTTTTGTGGTAGTTTTGCATGTAGATGGTCTGCAAAGGCTATTATCCCACACACTCCCCCCCTGCCTGAAACACCTCCATTGGACTCCTTTGTTTACTTCTGTAACATAGTGACATCACCTTGTAACACTCTTGCTTCTAACACATTGTACCTGATAGGCTAAAGGGTGGGACATCTCTAAATAAGGGGTTGACCAATCACAACAGAGCCGGCCAGCTAACCAATCAGAGCAGACTAGGCTCTGGTTTCAGACAGAGGGTGAAAAGAGGTGATGCAGCACAGGCAGTATGAGAAAAATAAAGAGCTTTTTGAACTCTAAAGCATGGAGACACATCACAAGAGGCACATGATATAAATATGAATCTGAAATTAAGCATAGGCCCCTTTTAATGGTTATGTTCATGTTTTGGTCACAAAGGGTGTGTGTGAGGAGTTAACCTACGAAGAGATTCAGGAGAATTTACCAGAAGAGTTTGCTCTGAGAGACCAGGACAAGTATCGTTATCGTTACCCAAAGGGGGAGGTAAGTGCTCCGATGAATATACTCAAGACTTGTTTCATTAAACCATTATAGTATCAGGGAGCTGCACGTTTTGCTGCCCATTCAACCACAGTCTGACCTGTTCTGGGAGCAGCTCTACTGATGCAATTTGGTGTTTAAGAGAATATTTCAACATTTTGGGAAAATACACTTTTTTCTGTCGTAGAATCGCGTGCAGAAATGGGGCCGAAATCAAACCCTGTACAGATGTGGTGTCAAATGATGCACCCCCGTCGTGAAATGCACCCCTTGACACGGGAACGCGCATTTTAATGTAGGGTCCGCTATTCTATGTTGTCTTTTTGATGGTTGGGTCGTCGAATCCTGGATTTTGCATCAATTCGTCACTTATTTTTCAGTACATTTTTTATTTAATATGTGACCCGCTCTATCAAAATCAGTCGGAAGTCGCAACGGCTCATTTCAAAATAAACGTGGATTTGCGTAAAAAACTATTTTTTCGGGGTTTGGGAGTTTTATTTGATTTTAAACAAACAAAGTCTTGGCTTTCAGAATATGAAACTTTTATTTCCAAACTTACACGATAAATACATTCTTTAAGCTTGTAAAGGGAAGATGACAGGCAATCTGCTCTTCCGCAACGGCATGATTACAAGCGGAGAACGGAGTAATTTAACGTCACAGCAGGCATAACAACAGCTGGTGTTTCTCGTGAGGGTTTTCCCCGGGAAACAAACGCAATACACACAAACGCAAAATTACACAAACACACACACGTATACACACACACTCACACTCGCGAGCTTCCCCCAGACCAGTAATCCAAACGAAAATATCTTCCCTCTGTAGTATTTTGATCATTTGCTAATAATCAATCAGATCGATGGATTCCAGAAAAGCGAAAACTTTGAAGGCCTTTTTCTCAAAATGATGACTCGGTGACAGTCATTATATAATGTGACATATTTCGCTTAATATTTGGAGTACAAAAACAATCCTGATATCATTAGAAAGCTAGGAATCTCCTCTTTCCAGCAGTGAAAAAGGAGATTGATCAAAATGTGTCTTCGGGTCAATGCTGCTGATTTCGATAGAGCAGGTCACATATATGTTTTTATTTAATTGTGACGTCCTGTCTGTATACTTTTGCTTGTACGTGTGCTTTACAATGTATTGTTTATTTTTACATCAAGTGCTTGAGGGTGGGATTAATATAATATTTTTTATTTTGGGGGGTGCTTTTTATGAACAGCCTGGTTGCCACGATATGCACCCCTTGCTATCTCTGACAATAAACGTGTCACATACATGAAACTTGCTCCAACTTTATTGGTACTAGTCCTACAACTATACCCTCCAAAGTGCTTGAGGGTGGGATTAATAGAAGCATCTTTTTTTGGGGGGTGCTTTTTACGGCAGGCCAGGGGGTGCATTTCAGGACGGGAGTGCATCATTTGACAAAACACCGGTATTGGACATGCGCTGTAACTATTCGGCTAAATTTGAGAAATGTATATCCTGCTGAGTAGATTGTTCTCTAATGTACACCATCAGGCCCTCCCTTCATCTTGCGGAGGGAGTCTCATCTGATGCGCAAATGCACACTTCAGCTTATGCGCAAATGCGGCGCAATCAAGCGCGCCACAGTTTCGCTGCTGCGAGGCTCCGGTGCTCGCAGTTCACACGCATGCTCCCCCAATCCCCCCCGGTCGATGCTCGCGACACAGGGCCTCATCACATAACTTTGCGTGGGGCCACAAGTTGGCCAGGGGCAGCCTGTACACCATAAGGAATATATTTTAAATCATTTTTATTAATTTGAATCTGCAAAGTTTATTGTAATTGAAGTTATCAAGTACATTAACTATAACAAAAAGTACAATATTGATAGTGTATATGAAGCAGCATAAAATGTAAATCCTGTCCTGTTACATACCTGCAAACAAGATAAAACATGGTCGTTAGTGAGATTTAACAGAGAAGTTCGCCTTGCTGAATCGGCACTTTTCCCACCCAGACGTGTCCTTCCAGACACGATCATCATAAGAGAGTCTGAGTAGAGTCAGGTCGGGTCAGTTCATAGCGTGCCTACATCAAGTGGACTGAGAGGCTATGATAGAATGACTCTGTTTGAATTATTGATAAACTCTCCTCTTTTCCAGTCCTATGAGGACCTCGTGCATCGTCTGGAGCCGGTGATCATGGAGCTGGAAAGGCAGGAAAACGTTCTGGTGATCTGCCACCAAGCTGTGTTTCGCTGCCTGCTGGCCTACTTTGTAAACAAACCTGCAGGTACACAAATCCAGGCCTCAAAAAAGAATCTGACACAGAAGTATGTCACATTGTCACCACAAACGACTGCTACCTTTTTCATTTAAAACTGCACGGCTCTTCCACTTTAAATTATGATTAACTGCACATATTTCATTTTTTATAAATATTTCTTGTTAATTTTTTTTTTTATTGTTTTCAAAACAGTTCTATAGTTGCTCCTTTTTACAATTGTTTTCCTCTTACTGTGTTTATCATTCCACGATGATACACCAAAGCAAATTCCTTTTAAGAGAGAAACCTGATTCTGACTATAATTATTTCTTTCCTCTGAAGCTGAGCTGCCTTATCTCAGATGCCCTCTTCACACTGTGCTCAAACTCACACCAATAGCTTACGGTACGTGGTCCATCCTGGAGTGTGTGACATTTCCATATCTCAGTAAACTTCTCCCTAACAGTCTCACTTTCTCTCCTAATTTCAGGCTGTAAAGTCGAGTCATTTTTCCTCAACATTGAAGCAGTCAACACTCACAGAGAGAGGCCAGTGGTAAGTTTCCACAAGCACACCATTTTTATAATAGCACACAGATCTGTCATAATAGATACTTAGCTTTGCCAACCATTGGTCTGCGGTACATTACATACGTCTGATGGCAGGCATTAATGTTAGGTCATTTGTAGATGAAATATATATGTATAGGAGTGGGGAGTGAACAGAAATGTGGCTGAACAGCTTTTGTTTTTCATATTAGGATGATTTGAAACAAAAAATATAGGCTTAAAAGTGTGAATATGTAACTTTTGTGAAAAGAGGTATCAATATCTTCCTCATAAAAAGTTATTTCATAAGCAAAAAGGTGCAATGATGCTCAATTCCACACATTATTTGTTGTTGCTCCCAAAACTTCACTTGTGTTCTTTAATGTTTGCATAATAGATGATGTGGGATTGACAGCAGTTTCTTACTTGTTGCCCCTTGTCTATTTGCGCTACTCTTACTTTACATTTGAACATGTTGCAAATTGTCGTGCGGATTTCTTTCAACTATATAGAGAAAATCAAATGTCATTTTATCCTGTAATTGCCAATTGTGGCCAAAGTGGTCACTGTTGTACAGAACTCCTACAGAATAAACAGCTAGAGGAATTATATACTATAATCAGATGCTGTTTTCATAGTAAAATAAATATGTATTCCCAAAGACTGCAAGTTAAACTTAAAGTTAAAGGCAAATTGTTTTAAGATTGATTATTAATCTTGAGATGTCTCACAACCACAATTTATTTTATTCCTTTGGTTTATTTGACAGGGACAATATTATGTACATCTTTATGTAGGTTACATTTAAATAAGGGTTGAAGTATATTCCTAATTAATATATTGTTAAACACACCACATACAGAAAACATTTCTAAATGAATGGGTCGTACGGGTTTGGGTTTTTAATGGACTCAGCATTTCTTTTGCAGAATGTCGACATCAACAGAAACCCTGAGGAGGCTCTGCAGACCGTACCTGACCACATATAAATGCTGTGTTGTGAGAACAAGACTACAGACACATGAAACTGGACGTGTTGCTACATATTAGCCTCACTAAATATCAGAGATGCACTCCGGAGAAAGGGTAGGCTTTAAAGCAGAGTAGAAATGGGACTAAATGTTCACTACAAGAAAAAATCACACTGCACCGACTCAACTGGATATTCTGTTTGAAGCGTGACTGTGAAACCTTCGTGCGTCTTATCTGACTGGAGTTTGCTCCTTTTATTAAAAGTGTCACATTGTTTACAAAATAAGATTTACAAGTAATACTCATGCACTATGTTTTAACACTTGGAGAAAAACACTTAAAAAGATGTGTAAACGTTGTACCACGTGTGCACGGATTGTGTGTTGTTGATCATCTAATTATAAAGGTGGGTCAGCCCCGTGGACAGCACCCAAACAAACAAAACATGTTGTTGTTGATTCTGGCACTTGACTTGAAAGTTAGGTAGTAGATAAGACGACAAGATTCAAAGCTTTATTGTCATGAGTATCTTCAGTTTTGGCGATGAAAATAGTCCAGGGCTCCTTCAAAAGTACAACAAAGAAGACGTTACACGGTGCATTATGGGATGTTTTAAATAGGGCTGCACCATATTATGCTTTTTCTGGTTTTCCCTTTCCTGTAGTGTGTTGTTTAGGTTTGTGTGCATGTTAATGGCCTGCAAAGGCTTAAATCCCAAAGTTCCCTCACATACGTGATAGGCTAAGGGTCGAGAGATCTCTAAGTGGTTGACCAATCACAACAGAGCTAACCAATCAGAGCAGACTGGTCTCTGGTTTCAGACGGAGGGTAGCACAGGCAGTATGATCAAAATAAAGAGCTTTTTGAACATTTAAGCATGGAGACATGTCCCAGTAGTGGCACAAAATACAAAAATAAACTAAGACTTGTTTTTAAGTTGTTTTTCAGAAACTAACTCCACTTTACGAGTCCTGTTGGTGTTGTTTTGGCAGCTCTCTTATGTTTTTAATCCTCCCACAGAGAAGCCAAAACTACATTTAACAAACTGATTTCACAACAGACCAATGAACTGTTCCACTCGGCAGATAATGGGTCTTTGTGAAAGCGCTCTGGGGGAATAGGAAACTCACATTTGGGACTAATGTAAGGAATAAAACTCAGAGGGGGAGGTGTTTTGGTAGTGGGCTAATTTCCCAAAATAGCAGAGCAGGGGTTAATAATCCCTCATATCTGGTGCACCTCAGTGGCAGCAGGACGTGAAACTTCCAGTATGCACACACTCAAGCTGGGAGCTGCTCTCCTCACACACAGCGGGACAACTTTCTGACTGAACTTCACACCTTTTTGGAGATTTTCTTTTCCCTTTTTTATCCCCACACGTGACGGATGTTTATCAGAACATATTTCATCTATCACTGCAGGGGAGCCGTTTAAAATAATCCGAGGTGAGGGAGGGGAGAGAGACTGCCCCTTGCAGAAAATATCTTTCTGTATAAAATGTGAGGTATGTGCACAGCGTCCTGCTGCACACGCTGCCTCAGTCCCGCGGACACCGTGAGTTCACTGCATCTTGGAGGACTGGAACCTGATTTATTCTGGACATGATGAATTTAAGGATTTCCTGCATGCTGGTGTTCTTCACTCTGTATCTGCAAGAGGGATTATCAAGGGAATATGAAGCTAAACTTGGAGCAGATGTTCTTTTACAGGTATATTGTTCTATTTTCCTCTCCTTAATTACCTTTTTTCTGTCAGTTTTGTCTCAAAAGTTGTTAATGGCTTCTTTCTGAAACACACTCTTCTGATAAACCAGGTTGAATGAACACAGGAGGAAAGTATAGCAATAATATAGTACTTTATTTTGTATTAAAAAAATTGCTATACTCTAATAATTGCCAGGATATTATTTAAACTATTGGTGACTACTAAAGTGAGTATTTCCAGCTCTAATACAGCCAGAACAAACTCAATGAGTCAAGATATACAATATACTCTTATTTTTTGTATATTAAATATATGATTTCTATGTTTCCCCATAAAGGGGTTCCACTCTTTACCTTACTTGTTTATGTTAAAGTCCCAGCAATGTCCAGGCTATGTGGTAATGTATTGACACAGCAATGACTTGTGTGCAGAATTAGCCTCTGAGCCCTCGCTGGCCTGTGTACAGTGAACGCATTTATTTCCAGTTCCACTTCCCCTCCATTCATGAATGGCTTTGATTCAGAGTATTTTGACACAAAATCTTGACCCAACCCTCACATAGGAAGAGTGTGGAGATTACTTCAAAAAGGGTACCTCCTTTTCTGCAACCAATGAAGTTCATTATATACTTATTGGGCTTGATCTTAAAATAACATTTTACAATACTACACATGAACGCACGTGATTGACTTTCTGCCTTGCGTGTTTTTCAGAGAATAAGACGTCAAAGCAAACCAACAAAATCAGTGGTAAGTATCAACCCAACTTTAAATGTTGCTTTTCACAAGAGGAAAGGGATGTGATAGTTGGACTATGTTTGTGCAGTTACTGTCATAAGACGTGTAAAATACCATAACAAATATTTAGTTTATTTGACAATTCATTGAACCCTCCTGTTGTCTTCGGGTCAAATCTGACCGATTTACTACTTTCATCAATCATAACTTTTTGTTTTACATTCAATTGCATTAAGGCTTCATGATATCCTTCACAGTAGACATTTGAACATACAATTGCTGATCACCACTTTCATTGAATTTTGGATGATTTTGTCAACTTTGTAAAACCCATGGTATTCCCGGTCAAAAATGGCCACCATAAAGAAAAGGAATTAGTAACCATCCGGATCAGATAAAACACACACACATACATGTGTTCCCCCCTTATGTGCCCAATCCCCCCATGTGAATTACACCTGGCACAAACACACACAAACACACACACAACAATTTGACACATTTCCCGCTCTTATGTGCCCCTCCCCCCACATGGATCGCACCTGGCACACGCAATACATGTTCAGTGTCTATTCTTTGTATATTAACTGCAGTTCTTCATGTATACCAGTAGTCTGATACAATATTTACAGTTTGAAAGGGTGTTAAATGAAATTTGGTGATGATTAATGGTTTTTGTGTTAATGTAATAGCAGTTGAAACAGAACCGGTCAAATTTGACCCCGACTCACCAAAGTAAGGGGGGGAAACGAAGACAATAGGAGGGTTGAAAAAAAAAAAACCTAATTGGTTTCAACACCAAGGGACAGTTAAAAGAACATCAAGAATAACACAAGAAAGTTACAGGACTTATTTACATTCTTGTTTTGTTGTAGTCATTGTAATGCCTGTAAGTGCAATATTTAAGCTCAGGGGCGGTTCTAGGGGGGGCCAGTGCCTTCCTAACACTGACCTCTGACCCCCCTGTGGCCCCCCTAACAATGAAAACATATTTTTTTATTTTTTTAAATGTATATTTTCTGGTACTCGGTTTGCCAAAAACCGCACGATTTTGTTTCTGTAATGTGAGATTGGGCAGACACCCTTATGTAAAGTAGAGATGTAACTGTTCATTGCCTTTATTTTTATATAAATATGGTGTTCGTGCAAACATTGCACTATAACTTAAGCTGAAGCTAACAGTAATAACTATAAGATCTATCTGAAATAAATAAGTGTACTGAAACAAATACCAATAACTGTATTGCATTGTTTTCTTATGCGCAATTACTTCATACTGTCTAGTTCTCTTTTTCGTCCTGCATTTATTGTGCCCCCCTCAGAAAATAACTGGCCCCCCAGTGGCCCCCCAGTCAAATTGGTCTAGAACCGCCACTGTTTAAGCTCCTCATACTACAACATGAGTTACAATGTCACTGTTACTAAACATTTACTAGCTATACAGTATGAGTGTGTACAAAAAGAAGAACATAACAACTAACTTCTGCTTCACAGATTATTATTTTTAATCGACAGTATTGGATAATTTGAACTATTTGTAATCTAAACAGTTATAGAGGGGAGAAAGTCACAATCAACAACTCAAAGATATCTAAATCTTTAACACATTGCGTTTTTAAACTGTTGTAACACATTTTGTAATCTTAAATCGTAATTTGATGAGTAAGCAATACAACTATCAATTAAATGCAGCGGAGTCAAATGTATAGCATTTTCTTTTGAGATGTAGTTGAGTAGAAGTATAAAAAAGCATGCTGTGAAATGGGAAAACCTCAATAATGTTCTCAAGAAATACAATCCTTGAGTGAAGTACCTACTCTCCACCTCTGATACAAAGTGACTTGCAGAACCAGCTTCACAGACAGAAAGCACCCCCTCCTCTCTCAGGGAATCATCAGGAGCTCCTCTGAGGTTTCCCCTCTGTTTGCTTCGGCGTTAACTGTGAAGCAATCCCCAGAACACATACAGTAATTCAGTTCAGTATAGCTCAAACCCCCGCTGCGCTGATGTGGCTCTGCCGCCTCATCCTGCAGTCATGTGGCTTCTAACCAGACTCACTTCAGTTTGCAGCAGGCGCCAGCGTTACCGGAGTCAACAGAGAAACAAGTTTATGATTTGTTTTTCATTTTGGTTTGGCTGGGTAGGGTGCAAAGGTCCATTATACTCTTTTTCATCAATATATTATAGGTCTCAGATATATAAAAAAAACATGTCTTTGATGTGTTTGGCTGAAACACCAGACAGATCATTTCAGCATCCCATAATCCCCTCTGTTTCAGCCCTGTTTCAAAAGTGCTGATTACATTACATTACATTGCATTTAGCTGACGCTTTTATCCAAAGCGACTTACAATAAGTACATTCGACCAGGAAGACACAACCTTGAAGAAAACAGAATCATATAAGTACATCAGGTTTCATAGAGCCAAACATTTCAAGTGCTGCTCAACTGGCTTTAGATAAGCCAGTCCTTTATTAGTATAAAAGTGCTTCGTTAATAGTTCTATCGCTCGAAGTGGAGTCGAAAGAGATGAGTTTTCAGTTTGCGCCGGAAGATGTGCAAGCTATTTGCTGTCCTGATGTCAATGGGGAGCTCATTCCACCATCCTGGAGCCAGGACAGCAAACCCACGTGTTTTCGCCGATGGGAACTTGGGTCCCCCTCGCAGATTCTCGATTGGCTAATGGTTACTCAAGCCAAAAAAATCGTTATGACATCATAAAGTAGCCAAAATCTGATCAGCTCATTTTGAGACAGGTTTTTATATAAATGGATCAGGACAAAAAGAGAGAGCATTTTTTTTCCTGAGTCTCTTTACACAGAGGGGACACATGTTGATGACATGAAAAAGTGGATTTTTGTATAATAGGTGAGGTTTAATTAAGCCTCCATCATTGTCTGTTATAGTCACACCTGATTGGTTGTGAGTAAATGTGGATGTAGCCCTTGTCATGATTTACTCAAGTACTGTACTTATTTCAATGTTATGCTACTCTATATTTTGCTCGACTACATGCCATAGACAAATATAGTTTTTTGACGACCCTACACTAACTAGTCTGACAGCTGTTACTTTTCAGATAACAGTTTAATGATACGTTTCCCTGAAGTGAAAACCATCAATCTTCAAACACAGGGCTAATTTCTGAAAATCTCTAGAAAAGTTGTCTTTTTTTAGATACTTGAGTCCAACAAAAAAGCGGTGCTACAAACATAAAATGAACGTATCAGATGTGATGAATTGCTGTAGATTAAATGTACCAACACTACAAGAGTTACAATTAGGCAAAACCTTAAATATCTATAGCAGTAAAACGCAGCTGATTAATATTATTCCAAAAACATAGAGTAAAACCCTGGCAGGAACCATTTTACTTCACACTCACTACTTAAACCTTTGTTACTTTAACTATAAGTGTTTGAGTTCAGCCCTTTTACGTGGAGTGAAGTTTTTTCCCAATATGGTACTAGTACTTTCACCTAAGTAAAGGATACATCTTAGGGACACTACTATCAGCCCACCAGGGCCATACACCTTCCTTATGTTCAGTGCATGTGTCTCGTCCCTACTTAAACTTTGAGAAACACACAAGAGGAATCTGAAAAGCTGATGTTATATGTGTTCAGGATTAATGCAGAACATTCACTGAGAAACCTAACTTTCATTGAGTAAATCAAAGATCTGCATAGTTTTGAAAACCCCGGGGATCTATCACGTATTTGCGACGTTGCCACCTCACAGTCTGTGTTGTGGTTATTGTCAGGCTTATATAATGTGGAAAAAAGCAGATGAAATGCATCAACTTCCTATGGTACATTCGATTAGCTGAATGTTTCTATTTGCCTCATGTAAGCTTCACAATACCTGTCCTTTGTACCTCAGATTTAATTTCTCCTTAACTTAAGTGCTTTCTCCTCCAAACCCTTTGTTATACATATATTTGTGATGCTATAGCTGAAGGTGACAGACTACCATGTGAGGTGTACAGTGGTGTCCAGATACGCTGTGACCACAGTGCAGAGCTCAGTGTGGAACCAGCTGCCCGTCACCAAGGAGGCGGCCTTCGAGGTGGACCTGCCCTCCTCTGCCTTCATCTCCAACTTCACCATGTAAGTCACTGTTTCTCTGTTCTATCCCTACTTCCTTTATTTCTAATCTCTATGAAAGTCAGGAAATGCTTCCACTCATCGTCACATTTACTGTGTTTTTGATGATGATTCCTCACAACATATAGGGACTGTTTTCAATATTAAAGATTTTTTATTTTACAATTATTATGCTTTTGGGGGGTTTTCCCATTCCTGTAGTGTGTTATATAGGTTTTTGTTCATGTAAATGGTCTCCAAAGTCTGAAATCCCAAAGCTCCCTCAAGAGAGAGTTCTCTAACAAACCCTCCTGCCTGAAATGCCTCCATTAGACTCCTTTGTTTACTACAGTCAGACACAAGTGACATCACAACCTAACAGTTGCGCTTCTATTGGCTGATAGAATAGATAGATAACAGAATGGGGAGGGATGAAACCCTTAATGGTCACACATGCAGAGCACACAGCACACACAGTGAAATGTGGCCTCTGCATTTAACCCATCCTAGGAGTCTAGTACTAGGAGCAGTGGGCAGCTATTGTACAGCGCCCGGGGAGCAATGGGATTGGGGGGGGGGAAGGGGGTTGTCCGGTGCCTTGCTCAAGGGCACCACGGCAGGGCAGGAGGTGAACTGGGACCTTTCCAAGTAGCCTAGGGGCAGGCAATCTCTAAGTGAGTGACCAATCACAACAGAACTGGACAGCTAACCAATCAGAGCAGAGTAGGCTCTGGTTTCAGACAGAGGGTGAAAAGAGGTGCTGCAGCACAGACAGTATGAGGAAAATAAAGAGGTTTTTGAACATTAAAGCAACATGTCACAGTATAGGCACTAAATAAATATGAACCTGAAAATGAGCATGATAGGGCCCCTTTAAGTATTGAAGTTGGCAGGGAAATTATAATATTTACCTGCCATATGTTGAAAAGATTGAAATAAATAAAAGTTCTCATAATTGGGCTGAATCCAGAAACTTCAGAGGAATTATGTAAGGAACTTGAATCGACCGAAAGAACGAGCGGCCGAGATGGGTTTTCTCCGCAGGGTGGCTGGTGTCTCCCTTAGGGATAAGGTGAGAAGTTCAGTCATCCGGGAGGGACTCGGAGTTGAACCGCTCGTCCTTTGCGTCGAAAGGAGCCAGTTGAGGTGGTTCGGGCACCTAGTTAGGATGCCACCTGGGCGCCTCCCTAGGGAGGTGTTCCAGGCACGTCCAGCTGGGAAGAGACCAAGGGGTAGACCTAGGACCAGGTGGAGGGATTATATCTCTTCGCTGGCCTGGGAGCGCCTTGGGATCCCCCAGTCAGAGCTGGTTGATGTCGCCAGGGAAAGGAACGTTTGGGGCTCTCTGCTGGAACTGCTACCCCCGCAACCCGACCACGGATAAGCGGGAGAAGATGGATGGACTTGAATCGAAGTCCGGAGGAGAGATGCATAATTTGATTACGAAGAGTGTTATTCAAGACGCTCTCCTTCAAGGAATTGCTAAATATAAACAAAACAAATAAGTCAACATTGCAGGCCAAACACCAAACCTGGAGCTGGATTTGGGAGCGGAAGCAGGTCAGGGGGGGGGGGGGGGGGGGGCTCAACCTGAGGCAGATGAATACAGGGCTTTGTAAACGCAAGTCAGAAAGTTAATAGAGAAAATGACAGGAGTTTACCCAGTCCCTACTTTTCTCCCCTGCACAGTTTACTGAGGCACACTGCCAGTTTAGATACACACACACACACACACACACACACACACACACACACACACACACACACACACACACACACACACACACACACACACACACACACACACACACACACACACACACACACACACACACACACACACACACACACACACACACATGTACTGTACATATACGTGCCTACATGGAGGTTTTTTATGTATGTGTGATTCTGGAGCTCATACAGGTTTTTTAACACCATAATCCTTCACTTCTGTCTTTCTCTTAGACATTTTCACTCTCTGTACGGCCGTCTGCACATCAACAAATAGTCAAACTTTATTGTCAATCTTTCAGTTTGTGTGTACAGACAGAGAGATCAAAATACCGTTTCCCACTATCCCGAATATAAAACAATACAAATATATATAGAAATATGTATGAAAATATGTATATACCTATATACACAATCAACAGATACATTTATACATTATGGATACAGCATTAAGACATAAATAAAAGCAACAAAATAGGCCAAAAGCGTGAAAAAAACAAGCTGTGGCAAATCTATTGTACTTATTTACATTTTATAAAACATTATATATCTACTACATCTTAGACGAATACTGTTTAGTGTTTTGACTCCACTCCTTTGGTCTGACAGCTTTTGTTAACATTATTATTATTTTTTATCTGAAGTCAAACCATCTATCTTGAAATGTAGTGATTTTTGAATGATTGTGATTATCTAAAGGAATGAAGCGTTAAGAAATGTCTCCTACATCTTAGGTGTCCTTTACGTAAGCGTTAAGAAATGTCTCCTACATCTTAGGTGTCCTTTAAGCGTTAAGAAATGTCTCCTACATCTTAGGCGTCCTTTAAGCGTTAAGAAATGTCTCCTACATCTTAGGTGTCCTTTACGTAAGCATTAAGAAATGTCTCCTATATCTTAGGTGTCCTTTAAGCGTTAAGAAATGTCTCCTACTTCTTAGGTGTCCTTTACGTAAGCGTTAAGAAATGTCTCCTACATCTTAGGTGTCCTTTAAGCGTTAAGAAATGTCTCCTACTTCTTAGGTGTCCTTTACGTAAGCGTTAAGAAATGTCTCCTACATCTTAGGTGTCCTTTAAGCGTTAAGAAATGTCTCCTACATCTTAGGTGTCCTTTACGTAAGCTTTAAGAAATGTCTCCTACATCTTAGGTGTCCTTTAAGCGTTAAGAAATGTCTCCTACTTCTTAGGTGTCCTTTACGTAAGCTTTAAGAAATGTCTCCTACATCTTAGGTGTCCTTTAAGCGTTAAGAAATGTCTCCTACTTCTTAGGTGTCCTTTACGTAAGCGTTAAGAAATGTCTCCTACATCTTAGGCGTCCTTTAAGCGTTAAGAAATGTCTCCTACATCTTAGGTGTCCTTTACGTAAGCGTTAAGAAATGTCTCCTACATCTTAGGTGTCCTTTAAGCGTTAAGAAATGTCTCCTACTTCTTATGTGTCCTTTACGTAAGCGTTAAGAAATATCTCCTACTTCTTAGGTGTCCTTTACGTAAGCGTTAAGAAATGTCTCCTACATCTTAGGCTCGTCATCACCAAATACCCCAAAAGGTAAAAGAGAGAAAAAAAGCTGTGGCAAATGTGTTAGTTCTTTGGCATTTCTGTGTGTGAAACTGAGACCTCTGTGTTCAGTGTGTCGCTCACTGATGTGCAGCCGCTCCTTTAACCAGCCACACATATAAATACAAGCGCCTCCATTTTCCACTCTTGCCATTCTGCTCTGTTTCTCAAACAGGACTTGCTTCAAGCCTGAGGGTTTATTTGAGTTAGCCCTTGATGTTTTTTCTCTTTGGATATATTTGTTCAAAGGACGTGACCTTAATTTAGCACCTCGTCACGTGTCATCCGCGGTCACCGAGAGTCTAGGAAGTGCACTGTGTGAGTTGGATGCATAGACTGTATATATAAAGGTTGGATGCCACTTGAGCGGAGGTTTTGGTTGGGATTTTGCCGGGTGTTGCACACGGCGGCGCTCCCTCAGCAGCGTCACCGGCCTGCAGGATCTCTCTTCATTAATGCTGTTTTTAGAGGGAAATTACTATTTTCGCACTCGCCCTGTTTACGACCCACACCTCCCATTCAGATGTTATGAACTCCATTTATAACATGTTTGTGAAGCAGCTTTGTGATGGCAATGGAAATACAAGGTGGAAAATAAAGTGAATCACGCTGAGCAGCTCAATGCAGGCCAGGCGTGTTTCTGACTGAAATATAATCCGGCTACTGTGAGTCACACAGAGAGCTGTTTCTTCTTCTTATTCCCATTAGCACCTCCAATGGCAAGGTGTATGTGGGCCAGGTGACGGAGAGAGCTGCTGCCAGGAACATTTACGATGCTGCTAAGAAGCAAGGGAAAACAGCCGGGCTCGTTGCTACCAAGTCAGTACCAGAATGTGTTCTTTAACTTCCTCACACTGATCAGTTAAGTAATGCATCTTCTACAGTTACAAATTATGTCTGTGAATCTTATAAAAAGTTGTCTTTTGTGAGATACTTGCAAGAATAAAAGAATCGTTTAGAATATGATGCATTTAACTATCCAACAATATATAAAGGAGTTCATCAACATCTACAGCACTAAAATGCAACATACTGTACGCCTATGAAGCAGTAATATTAATCTAAAAACATCCAAAGTAAAACACTGACATTAACTTTCGATTATTGAAGTACAATTTGCTGATAGTACTTTTAGTTATGTTAGATTATGAATTCAGTACTTTGTAGTGAAGTGTTTTTATAGTATGGTTGGCTACTAGTACTTTTACTTAAATAAAGGACACTTGTATGAGCCCACCAAGACCACCTTTCTTACATTCAGTGCTTAAAGTTTTTACTTATAATGTAGACTGTTTTTAAAGAGGACACTGACATCCAATCCAATATTGTGAGTTTTCCCTTGACTTTTTTTGCTATGTTTCAGAGAGCGAGAGATTGAGAAGTTCCGCGTGGCGGTGAGCGTGCCGTCTGGAGCTCGGGTTTCCTTCTCCCTGACCTACGAGGAGCTGCTGCCTCGACGCCTCGGCCGCTATGAGCTCAGTCTGGGTCTGAGGCCGGGTCAGCCTGTGCAGAACCTCTCGTTAGACGTCAGTATAACGGAGAGGACAGGCATCAGTTTCCTCAAAGCCTTTCCTCTCAGGACGAGCCGACTGCTCTCCAACACCGCTCAAGGTCAAATATGATGAGTTATTACCTGTTTTGATGTATTTTAGATGGTTAATTTGGATTAGCAACTTTTAGAGAAGAGCCCTTCAATGCTCTTAGACTGATGTAAAGTACACACCACCTGGTACCAACCATCACTTGTTTAAAGCAAGTGCAGAAGAAACAATCTCAATAGACTTCCTGGTTGAATCAATGATATCATGAATTATATTTGTCAATCAAAATCTGAATTTAAGGGAATAGTTTATCTTTTTGGGGAATACGCTTATTTTCTTAGTGGTTAATGAGAAAATTGAGCTGTTTAGCTTAGCTTAGCATAATAACAGGAAACAAATGGAAACAGCTAGCCTGGCTCTGCCAAGAAACAATATATTGTTGTTACTGTTAGGTAGCCAGGAAACCCCAGGATGTTTTTTCTCCCCTATAATCCCATATAAAACCACTGCTAGTTATTCTTTCATGCTTTTAATTTGGGTACAACCAAGATATAAAGTTACGAGTGCCTTAGCGGTTCTGATAAGCAATTGATCTTACCTTTATCCAGCCATATCTGTTTCCAGTCTAGGATAACTTTCTTCTGGCTGTAGTTTCATATTGATCCTACAGACTTGGGTGGTGTCTGTGTTCTCAACTTACTCTGCAACAAAGCAAATAACCAGATTTCGTAGAATGTCAAACTATTTCTGGTGGAATTATTTGCTTATAGAGATTTAAAGACTCCCACTCGCTGTCTTCTTCACTGACAGTCAGAAGGGGTAATTTAATATTAAGGTCTCCATACCCAGACCAATCAGGTTTTTGCACAAATAATATATAATCCATTTAAAATAACCTGAGAAAGGTCTGTGTACTGAAACGTTGTTATTAGATTAGACTGAAGTGTGGGAGCATTATGTTCCAAATGGTTGACCCCTGGTCTTCTTCTACGCGCATGTCTACAGGCGTGTGTCCTCTTTGATGTAGATCTTTATTTAAACATTTTGGATTACTTCTTCATGGATTAAACCATGCACTCCTTACCATCAGGCGATGCAGAAGCCCCGGCCTCCACTCATGTTGAGCAGAACACAAACTGTGCTCGTGTCCGCTACAGTCCCACTATACAGCAGCAGAACAGCATCTCGTCCAACGGCCTCAACGCAGACTTCATCCTCCAGTATGACGTGGAGCTCAGAGACCTCATGGGTGAAGTCCAGGTCAGGAGCGTCTTTTTATTTCTGCCTTTTTAAAGAATGTTCTTGCTTTTCAAAATATATAAATGTGTTTTTAGTGACAGTTAAAGTGGTTTTCTCCCCAATGAATTGTGTATTGTCACCCTCTCTCAGGTGTATGATGGGTATTTTGTGCATTACTTTGCACCCAGAGGACTTCCTGTGGTTCCTAAGGATGTTATTTTTGTCATTGATGTCAGTGGCTCAATGATAGGCACTAAGATAAAACAGGTAAAGTTGACAGTCTCATCCACACCGTAACTTTTTATGACCAAGAATACAAGAGCATGCTCACATCGCTTCCCTGCTGCTTTGTATTTCATTGTCAATTATGTTGTTTGTACTTCTTGTCTTTTCCTCAATAGAAATAATCCTTTTTGCATAGCTGAGTTTTAATCCTCTGTGATTTTCAATGTATGTAATGACTGCAGTCTTTTTTCAATCATCCAAAAAATCGATCAATCAATACAGTTCTGTGATAAAGACTGTTGCTTGATAAAAAACATATTTGCAGGATTTCTGTCAATAATTCAAAGTATTTCTGTCAGTAGACGAAGCAGGCCATGAGCACTATTCTCGGGGACCTGAGAGAGGGAGACCACTTCAACATCATCACCTTCTCAGACAAAGTTCACACCTGGAAGAAAGGACGGACAGTTCGGGCGACTCGGCAGAACGTACGAGACGCCAAAGACTTTGTGAAGAGGATTATTGCAGAAGGATGTGAGATGAAGTCTTAAGTGATAATTGTGTCCAACTTTTCTTCGTGTTTTCTTCTTTTAACACTAATCCTTCAGCCTACTCAATTTGGTCTCCCAGTTTATTTCATCAAGGCTACTTCCTTTCCCACATCCATGCCTGCTTTTTCTTTCTGTATTTTATTTTTTGATGTGTTACTTTTATCCTTTGTCTGGTTTCCTTGGGTTTTACAAGGTGCCTTTAATACAAAAAAATATTATTATTACTTTTTTTCTCTATCAGGGACGAACATCAACGCAGCTCTGCTCTCCGCTGCCCAGCTGGTCAACCCTTCATCCTCCTCCTCCTCCAGCCACCTCTCATCCCGACGTGTCCCTCTGGTTATCTTCCTCACTGATGGAGAGGCAACCATCGGAGTAACGACCGGCGACACCATCCTCAGCAACGCCAAGAAAGCTCTGGGCTCCTCGTCTCTGTTCGGCCTCGCCTTTGGAGACGACGCAGACTTCCTCCTCCTGAAACGCCTCGCTCTGGATAACCGCGGCGTGGCGAGGATGGTTTACGAGGACGCCGACGCAGCCCTGCAGCTCAAGGGTTTCTACGATGAAGTGGCGAGTCCTCTGCTATCAGACATCCAGCTGTCGTATCTGGACGATCAGGCGTTTGACATCACCCGCTCCATGTTCCCAAACTACTTCCAAGGCTCAGAGCTGGTGGTGGCTGGGAGGGTGAAACCAGGGCTGAAGGATTTTAAGGTGTCAATGTCCGCCACTGATTCAAAACAACGCATCAAGTTGGAAAACGAGGTGTTGATTTCCCACGCAAAAGGCAAGGGGAGTGCAGATTCAGTCGAGTGCTCTGCAGGCTCGGAAGGAATCTCCACCTTCGTGCACCGCCTCTGGGCGTATTTCACCATCAAAGAGCTGCTGCTGGCAAAACTGAGCGCAACTGACCCTGCAACTCAGAGGATACTGGCAGACAAGGCCACAAACCTTTCCCTGAAATATAACTTTGTAACACCGGTCACTTCTTTAGTTGTGGTTAAGCCCGATGCAGATGAAGAAACTCCAACCACGGTAAAACCCACCACCGCAGCGTCTACAACCACAGCGACGACTCCAACCACGAGAGCGACTACTACTGCCGCCATCAGAATATTAGCTGTGAAGAAGCTCAGTTCTAACACAAAGCCTAAAACAAAACCAAACCCTCCTCAGCCACCTCAAAAGCAAACAAAAAAAGTCCTTCTACCAACTTCCACTGCAAAAGTAGGAGTTTCACCATCAAAGAAAGCCACAACCACATCAAGTCCCACCTCTGTGAAAACTACCCCTGCTCCAATCTCTGGGAAAAAGCCAACCCCTTCCCAAAATGAATCCAAAACGGCCTCTCCTCTTCCTGGTGGTAAGACACACACCTCCCTGCTGAATGCTTTAAAAACAGCGGCACCCCCTGCACCCGGAAAGGTCTCCACTCCTTATCCAAATGTGGTGAAAACAACCCCCACAACCACCACAGTGTTCACCACCAGCACCACGCCTCCACCCAGCTCAGTCCGAACCGACCCTGCTCTCCTGCCTGGGAAACCCCTTACCCCACAGCCCAGTACAGTGAGAACGACCCTGCCTCCTGTCAGAGTGACCGTTCCCTCCCTAGAGGCGGAGAACAGCTCCACCTCTGCTCCACCTGTGCCTGACATCACCACCCCCCCGCCCGAGGCATCCTCTCTGCTCACCTCCCCCACCCCGGTGCCGGCGCCCAGCGTGGACGACCACAGCGACACCGAGCTGAGCATCGCCACCTTTGTGTCGGCCACCTTCGCTCCCATGCCTGGTGTAACAGAAGGGCCACGTTTGTGGGAGGCAGCAGGGCTTCTGGGTAATTCAAAATTATGCACAGTCATAAATCAAGTTACAGTACAAGCTAAATATTAAAGAATCAGAATCAGAAACAAGTGTATTGCCAGGTAGGTTAGCACATACGAGGAATTTGACTTTGTGTTGTGGAGCATACATCAAAATAAAACAAAAATGTAAAAACACAGGTAGAAAGCTACTTGAAGAAACTATAATAACATAAACAAATATATAAAAATATATAGTAAAAGATAGCAGTATTTACATTGAATATGATGGAGTATGATTGAATATGAAACACCTTTCCTGCAGTGTTATTTTGGTTTTTGTGAAAGCAAAGGCTACACTCCCCCCAGTGCCTGAAACTCCTCCACTGGACTCCTTTGTTTAGATCAGGAACATAGTGACATCACTATGTAACACTCAAGCTTCTATTGGCTAGCGCACCAACACATTGTACGTGATAGGCTAAGGGTCGGGACATCTCTAAGCGGTTGACCAATCACAACAGAGCCGGCCAGCTAACCAATCAGAGCAGACTGGGCTCTGGTTTCAGACAGAGGGTGAAAAGAGGTGCTGCAGAACAGGCAGTATGAGAGAAATAAAGAGCTTTTTGAACATTAAAGCATGGAGACATGTAGAGACACTAAATACTGATATGAACCTGAACATGAGCAGAATATGTCCTCTTAGTGTGCAGACTATTCATGTTTTCCCCATTGAATGTTCTTCTTCTCTCCACCAGATGTCTCTACTTTCATTCAGAGGAAAGGTAACACTGAATTATATGTTTTTTTCTAAACTATTATTCACATTTATCTGAAAAAAAATCTGATAATCAAATGTAATTAGATACAGCTGTTTCATTAGGATATACCATAATAATCAGCCAACAGTGGAAGTAAATATGTCGTTCTATCTCCTGTAGATATTGACCTTGTGAAAGGTGAGTATCACACTTCATTCTTAATGTATTCATAATTATTATACTGCCAAAATCAAAAAATGAGCATCACAGCGTGTCCTAAACTCAAACCCTCCATTTCTCAGACTTTGATGCGACCTATGACGTGGACTACGATCTCAATTATGATGCCTGTAAGTTTTAAATTGTCATAAGAGTCGATTTAATTCTGTAGTTGCTTTCTAAAGTCTTATAAATAAAACGTCTGACTTATTTCTAGGGGATGATACTGCAGACACAGAATCGTTTGGTAAGAGCTGGCTGTTACGCACAGCTGCACGTCTTAAATAATATGTCACTTATTGTGGAGACACTGCTTTCATTGTGGAGGACTGTCAGTGAGTTTAATCTCTTGTGCTTTTAGATAGTTCTCCATCCATCATTCGCGTCTTCTCCTCATCAGGTCAAGATTCGTTTTTAATTATATTACACCGTCAAATTATTTAAAATATTTTCTGTACTCATGTTGTATTAATGTTAAATGTTGTGTCTTATAGTTGATGGAGATCCTCATTTTGTAGTCCAGCTGCCTAAGCTGCATCAGAATTTGTGTTTCACTGTCGACGGCCGAGCCAATGACGTTCTCAGACTGTTAGAGGACCCAGAGAGAGGTACGCTTGGAAATAAAATCCCTCATTTAAGTGTAAAGATATACATGTTTTATAGGCATTTTCTATATATTAATATTGGTTTTATTGTATGCCTCCATGGCGAAAAACTATTCTAAAAGGTCTTGATGAATTCAAATCAATTGGGGCTGCGTATAACAACCGAAAAATGGTTAACAAACTACAACACAACTGGTACGGTACCACTTATCCAGACAAAAGCTCATTACTTCCCAAACACATGCATTTTTGCATTTCGGATGCAACTGGTTTCATGGTTCATTCTTCGTTACTCTATAGTGAACATCTGAAGTGTATGCATGTGTGCGGGAAGTAGTGAGCATCAGACTAGGTAAACAACACATGGAAGACACTCCAGAAGGTATACGAGAGCTTGTAAATGGATGTTTTAATATAGTCTTTCTTTTTGTGAAATGCAGTACACCCATTTACTTCAATTCATTAGGACTTATCTCCATATCTTGATGTTCCTTCACCAGGCAAGAATGTGAGAAAAACATTGATTTCTTTAAGAATTCAAGGTGAAATTAGGTAAATACTTCAGCCATTGTTACTACCACGTTAGTAATACATTTTTAAGTGTGTGTGCTCCTCATCCTCAAGGGATAATTGTGGACGGCCACCTCATGGGAGCTCCCTCTAAGCACGGGGTGGAGGATCGGACCCGGACCTACTTCGACCGGATCACCATTTCCTCCGCCACCAGGCTCTCCGAGGACATCATGATCACCCTCTCGTTGGACGCTGTAGTGGTGGAAGGTGAGGGGCGGGACCATCTCCCCATCAATCAGCAGGGATCGGTGACGCGGCAGGGGGTGACGGTCACCGTGGACGACCACCGGAGTTGCTGGATCGAGCTGGACCGGGACGTCCGCTTCCTGGTTCTGTTCCACCAGTACAAACACCCCAGCTACCTGCAGATGGCTCACCTGGGCTTCTACATCAGGGATGGACGAGGGCTGTCCGCTGCAACCCAAGGCCTGCTGGGTACTACATACAAGCTCACTGACATCTAGAATACAGAACTTAAAATAGAAATACAGCCATGTACAAGTTAAAGTCCTTACCATCTACTTAAGTAAAACTACAGATACAGCCAAAAGGACCCAAAGTTTCCAAACTAAAAGTACTCATTCTGCAGAAGAGTCTACCCTGAGACTGATGTATTATTATGTGACTTGATTGTTTGTAATGATGCATCAGTAGATTGTATTGTTGTAGCTAGTTGAGGTGAAGCTCATTTGAACTGCTTTATATACAATTACATACTAGTAGTAATAGCATTAAGTACTACAGTTTTTCCCGAAATAGGGATCAAGTGTCCTCTAAAGGAGTACAAGATAAATGTGCCATGTGCTGATTAATGCGGTAGTAAATACAAATCTAAGTTATGCTATGATAATGTGTACTAATTTGTTTCAACTTTCTTTTACAAGTCTGTTTTAAACTTCAGTTCAATAGGGTTAGGGTTAGCACATGTATCTGGTTGTAACTTATATATATCAATATTCCAATTACTTGTATAGACTATTCTGCACTATTTCTATTTTATTTACTTGCACTAGTATCTGTTTTATTGTTGTTGCACTGTTGGAGGAGCCTGTGACCTAAGATGTTCATTGTCATAACTACACTGTAGCTATGCACACATGACAATACAAGCCTTGCATCTTGAAATTGTTGAATAAATGCACTCAGTAACTTCCCACCACCTCTGTCCTATATCCTCCAACAGGCCAGTTCCAGCACGCTGACATGAGAGTCTCAGCGCTGCAGGATGCTCAGGAGGAAGCTCCCAACGAGGCGGTGTCAGCGCGGGGGGTCCTGAGGTGGGGAGCGGAGCACATGCCGGTCACCTTGCAGGACAAGACGCTGAAAGACACGGTGCGCAAACGCCACACGGGCATGTGTTGGGTGGTGCCCAAAGCAGAGGTAGAGAGACTCCTGGGTCATCCATACGAGAGCTACGTGGTGGAGCATGTGTAATTCTAGCCGAGTCTTCTTCTCCGCCTTCTCTGATGCTCGTCTCGGGTCACAGAGAATATAATAGCGGTGAAAGAGGAAATGAAGGAGTAATGAGGAAGTATGGTTCAATAGATGTATAAGGACTGAAGCGTGCTGTTGTTCTCCATCAGGGAGTTTGGATGCATGTCTATGACAGAGACTCCTGTTCGCATGCAACCACAAAATGTCTCCAAATGTGTCACACACCAACTCACTTCAGATATTTATCAGATTATATTACATCGAGGATTCATTATAAGGCAAAGCCAGATTCTTGTAATTATTAAAACTGTATCTGTAAGTTGTATTTTTTAGAGTGTATATAAAATATTATTATATGTATAGATAACCTCATAACACAAAGAAAGAAACACACAACAGTATCAGGGTCTTTCCAGGTTTGCCATGTGCGTTTTATTTTTCTATAATTTCATTCATAGTTTAATTCATTTGTATTTGTTACACAAGACATTAGGCAATGCTCACATACTAGTGATCAAACAAGGACAGTAAGTGTTTCTACTACTCAGCCTTAACTATTTGTATCTCTTGTCAATTTTTCAAGGGATATTGTCAATAGTGGTTTCCAAAAAAGGCCAAACTGGATGGAAATTAAAACAGTACGACCACACATGAGGCTTTTGTTTTCAATAAATAAAAAAGACAGTATCTGATGCTGAGGAAGGGGAACGGAAGGGAGGGCTTCGGATATATCGAAGAGTAAACATTATTCCAGTATCCAGGATGAAGACCACACACAATGTTGAAACACAGCTGTACAGGTTTGAACTGATGGCTGCTGCTGTTATCCTCCCATCATAACCTGTTTATTATTATAATCATGAGGCAGCACTGGAATGATCACTGACTAAGGTAAACATAACACAGCAAATAACAAACAAACAAAAACAAGGAATTTCGGTGTGCATCACTTTTCCGTTTTTATCATCAGAACAAAATTAGCATAGCATATTCGGCGTACACCTTTTCCACAATACGTCAGTGAAATGTAAATAAATAGAGCATAACAATAAGACACGCCAACACCCCAAACAGCGAGATAACTATGTTTAGAGTTGCTAAGTGTTGGATAAAGTGAGATGGAACTGCTTTTTTAAATAAAAACGATCAGGGCGTCTCGTCTGTTTGTGTTGTGTAACAAGCCACAGATCTAACTGTACGTGAGATATGAGGAACTGCCTCCGCTCAGGTGTACAGACGCAGCTGAGAGAACATCCCTTCTATAGGATTCAGTCAGATCTGCGGAGCAACACACAACAACAAACTGCACTTTGTCAGCATCCTTTGCCAATAACAGCAACACCATTTTTGGCACTAGAGCGACCTGCCACTAACGGTTAGTTAAAAACAAAGCAGTCATATTTGAAAAGGGTCTAAATATTCTATTAAGACCCAAAAATTAAGGCTACAACCAATAAAAGGATCTTGGTTCGTTCTCGTGGGGCAGCACCTGCAACTGTGGCTTCTCACCTTTGCTACAAAGTCTTTTAAAGTTACGGGAGTCTCCAGCCGTTCCCTCTATTTAACTACTACAATTTGTCATAGGATGTTTAGTCCCTGGAGAAGTGACTTACCTAAAGGACACACACAAGGGTTGAAACAACCGAACACACTCTGGTGCTTTCACTATCAGCCGAAGTTTCAGTCTTCACCCTCTTCACCTAAAAGTGAAACCTCCAAAATCCAAATCATTCCCCGCACACATTCTTGTCCTTCACACTTCCTCGCATCTCAACAATCTCCGCAATTTGTTTTCCTCACTCATTCCAGATCTCCCAGAATACTTCGGAGAAAGCCTCTTCCAGCCTCTTTTGCTCCTGACATTCCCTTTTTTTTTTTTTTTACTTTAAGACCACGGATTCAACCTCAGATCTGTAAACTTCATAACTTCAGCCAGTGAAATGTGCACCAAATATATAGAGAAATAAAAACTCTTCAATAATTTAAAAATGTTAGAAAGTAAACTATTCAAATTGACATTACACAACAGAGATAAACAAAGGAACAGTTGTTTTTTTTGTTTTTTCGGGGTGACGGTTAATAGCCACGAGTTAGCTTGCTTGCTAGCACAGGGAACACAACAGCATTGCAAAGTGAGCACTATCAGCTGACAGACAGCCCATGTCATTTTTCATCACATTGACCAACTGTCTGACCAACAGATTTTTTTGACGGGTAAAAGACCAAGTGAGAGAAAAGTGAAAGCAGGGTTGACAGGAGCAATGCGTGGAATGGCCCAGCCTTCATACCGCAGTGTCGTCTATGTAAAATACTACTGTGTGTAAAAGATGCATGCATGTCAACTGGATTCTACACTATAAGCCGTTACAGGTCTCTCATGTCAGACTTCTCAATGCCGTCAATCTTCCAACCACCCGACGACCTCTGATACGAGGAGAAAGACGTTACAGAAAGAATGAAAATGCTCTGAAGATCGCCGACGACAAGTAATAAATTCACCTCTAATGATAATATTTAAGACATGGTTATACTGTAAATTCTACAATGGAAAGAAAGACCATATCAACCCTGCTTTACAGTGACAGAGATAAGGAGTGTGAGTATTTGAACAGCGTGTGTGTGTATGTGCGGGTGTGTGTGTGTGTGTGAGCGTGTCAAGAGAGAGAGGGACATAAGGGAGAGGAGGCAAACAGCTGAGGCCAGAAACACACCCTCTCCCCCACTGATGGTTTTTCAAGGCCCTCTAACGGACCCTCTGCCTCATCTTTTGCCTCTTTTAAGCCCCGCCTCCTCTCCCAGGCCCCGCCCTCTCTCTGAAGCCTCTCTACTGCTCACTGCTCATCCTCCCCAAACACGTCGTTCTGTTTGCGCTTCATGTTCTCAAAGTCAAAGTCGCTGCCGGTCATGCGTTTGTAGATGTCCTTGATGTCGTTACAGGTGGTCTCGAAGTGAGTGGTGGCATCGTAGGAGCTCGAGGCGAAGACCTGGGAGAGATAAAACAACAGACTGAGAATCTGCAGCGACACCAGCGACTCTGTGAGGCGCACTGGGAAACATCACTAGAACAGGGACGTGAGTGGGGTTGGTAAGATAAAATATCTGTCATAATCCTGACATCACTGTATTAAACTACTATTATTATTGTTATAATCATTACTGTGGAGGGTGTCTGTGAAACACACAGGAGTGACCAACAACAGTCACATCAGTGCAATGTTAGCGACAGTGCTAGCCTGTTTCACATGGTCACCCAATTTCTTCAGCCTGTTAGCATGCTAACACAAAGCTGAGGCGGGTGAGAATGAAAACTCATTTCAAATGTACCTTGTTAGGACCTTGAATATCTGCAGCAAAATCCATGGCATTTAATAGTGACACATATTTCACTCAAAACTTCTTCTTTTTTTTATTTCCCTCAAAACTAAAAGTGTCTAACTTGTGATAGATTCATCATCTGGGAAACAGATATGACCTGCTGATGGCACTAGTTAAAAAGTCTGTGGATAATCTAAGTCAGTAGGGTTCCTCATCATGGGACCATGATTGTCCGTATTATATTCCTTTGTAATCCATACAATAGTTGTTGTTGAGTTACACCCGCGCATTAGCCATGAGCATATCGTTTCCATTTTCTCAGCAAAAGCTTTTTTATAGTTTTCTGGAAGAAAGGTCTTACCTGGCTCTCAGTGCCATCATCTGTGGGCTCATACAGGTCACTAATAGCCACAAACCTGTTAAAACAAAACATTAATGAGTATTTTCACAAGCATACTTAAATATTTGTATAAAACTCTTTGTCATCAGAAGCTGTTAAGATGCTGACTTCTGGTCGATGGGCTCCAGCAGCTCCAGCGCCGGCTCGATCTCCGCCTCGGGCTCTTCGGTCTCCACTGTGGTGCTGATGATGGCGATGTACTTCCCCTGGGCCGCCACGTTGTGAGCGTAGGAGATCATGCACACGTAGATGTCTGGAGAATTGACAAAAATGTTGGTACTAAAGGTTTATTTTAATGCCAATACTTTTGTAATTGTACTCCTCGAACGCAGGACTATTACTTGTAACAGTGTTTATTCACTTTAGTATTGATACTTTAAATTAAGTACAATATCTAAGTACCTTTTCCACCACTGGTTTTTGAGCACCTGATGATATTTCTAACACCCTTTTAGCTCTGTCTGGCTCTTTGCTACTACATTAAAAGCTATACTAACTTTTCGTGGTGCTGCTCAGGGAGCTTCAAAAATATGTTTTCCTGAAAAGAGCTGGCTGCGTAAGGAAACAAGCTAATTCATGCCTCTCGCATAAAATACTAAGAAAAGTTGTTGGTCAGAAAGTCAAACAGTGATCCGATAGATAAAATAAATCTCCGTAGAGCGGAGAGGAACTGCAGAGTCGCTGGGTTTGAGAACCAGGGACCCATTTCACAAGTAGTCAAGAGATCCGTTGTTAATACCAGAACATTGATTATATGTGCTTTTAAAGAGTAAATAAAATAGAACTATGTATTGTACACTATGGAGGATATGAGTCACTTAAAGGGTAACATTTAGAGACAAGCATTGCTTAATTTCTCCTCATAAGAGCGCTCCTTTATTTCCTCCAGGGCTTACAATCTAATCAATTACATTCAGCAGAACGGCCATCTTTGTTATTGATCTTCCTGCTCCAATTCCTAAGAACTAAACGACGATCCTCACCTGAGTTGCGGTTAACCTGGTTCTGAGGAATGATGATCTGGCAGGAGTTGGCGTCGTTAGTGTTTTTGATCGGGTGGCTGAGGACGCAGATCACACGGATCACCTGACCCGCCTTGCGGACGCGATCCGGGATGTAGCTAGGGTCGCAGATCAGCTGCTTACAACGAGCCACCTGCAGCAGGAAAGAAGATAAATAAGATTAGATTAGATAAGACTTTAATCTTTATTAACAGTGGTGGAAGAAGTACTTTGATGTGTTACTTAAAGAGGCCCTTTTTTGCATGTTATGCCTCTACTGTGACATGTTTACATGCTTTAATGATCAAAAAGTGTGGGAGAGAAACTCTGTAGAGACATTTCGGATGTTAGCCTTTGCAAACCATTTACATGCACAAAATAGGGGAAACGGAAAACCCCAAAAAGCATAATAGGGCCTCTTTAAGTAAAAGTAGAAATACTGAATTGTTACAAATACTCTGTTCGAAGTCAAAGTCCGGCATTCAAAATCTTACTTAAGTAAAATTACATAGTAGTAGCATTTTTAAGGACTTACTTACTTGTTATCCCTTCATAGAGCCCAGAGAAAAGTAATGACATTTGCAGAATAATAAATCAGCGTACCTCTCCCTCAGACTTCACTCCAACAACATGGCCGTCTTCCATCACTATCTCCTCCACTGGTTTGTTCAGCATGTAGGTGCCTCCGTAGATTGCACTCAATCTACAAAGTGTTTAAAACCGGTTGAATCGTGGATGATGGGATATGTATCATTAAAGCTAATCAAGAACTATGGATGAAAAGTAAATGATAAAAGTTACCTGGCGAATCCCTGCGGCAGCTCTCCCAGGCCGTACAGGGGGTAGAGGTAGGGGCTCTTCCCATATCGAGCCAGCGACTCGCTGTACAGCTTGATGCGGTTGATCGTCTCCAAACAGGGAACATCAAGATAGCTGAGGAAGAAACAGAAGAGGATTAATACGGATCAAACTAGAATAATGAGAGATATATGATTGTGTTAATATAATATTCACAGCCAGAAAACTCATCTTACAGTATTGTAAAAAATGTTTTTGCAGGTTTCATGGTATATAATTATATTTCTATTGATTATGTATTACTATTATTTGTATTATTATTAGTGGTACCAGTACCAGTATTATAATTATATTTTATTGTATTATTATTATATTTTAAAAATATTTATATATTATTTAATTTTTTCTATTACAATTATTACTATCAGTTTAATGACAAACAGAACTTGGTATTTGAGTTATATTAACGGATGTCCAAGCAGATTATGCTTCACTAAACGCAACAAAGGTGAGCTTGATTTTTCATTGTAATCGTTGTTTGCAGGTTAATTTAAAAATAGATTCTTCATATTTGATATCAGGCAGTCATTTACTACATATACATTTGAAAAAAAACCCTCATTACAACATATTTTCTTTAGTTATTTCATGTTAAAAATAACAAAAGCAGCTGTGAAATGAAGCAACTGTTGTGAAATAAAATGTACTTTTGCAATTTAATAATGTTATTACTGGCTGCTGGTTCACAACTTCTTCTATGTTAACCAACTCTTATAATGCTACTACTTATTTAATCTTTATTTGATTTTATATTATTAATCTGCCCGTTTGATTTGCCTTCCATCGGCACTGTCCCCTGTGCTGCAGTGAAGTAAACGTTCCGGCTGTGGTAGCATTAAAGGATTTCTGATGTGATGAGATAATGACATAAGGCTTTTGTTCTCACTCGTCCGTCCTGTAGAGGGCCAGGGCGTGGCCGGTGAAGTCGATCACATCCTGGCCGAGGTCGAACTTCTTGTAGACTTCCCTCATGTCGGTGGTTTTGGGGTCCACGCCCTCAAAGGTTTTGGGATCGTTCTCATCAAAGTTGGCCACAAAGACTAAGAACTTCCTGAACCTCCGCTTCTCAAACATTCCCATCAGATCTGCAAATTCATACAGAAGCTTTTATTTTGAATACATGATCATTTAAGTATCATACTCCTGATATTTGAGACATTTTTGGGCGGCTTACTTGAAGCTAATGCCTCGGTCTCGGTCGACGGCACCTTGTAGATCTTTCCTCCTTTGTACACGAAGCTGCCCTCCACCACTTTGAAGTCCAGGTACCGTGTCACTTCTGTGTAAAGCAGCATCTTCACCAGCTGACCTGCAAACACACACACACACACACACTTTACATCAATACAAAATGCCTTTTAAGCATCAAGACAGAGACTGAAACGTCACATATAGATAGTCTGGAGGCTTACTTTAAATGTATATTTGATAGGTATAAGTATAAACAGTTCAGTTTTGGTTTATTTGCACAATTTAATAAAAACCGAAGAAAAGATGCCGGAGTCAGAAAACCCACTGACCCTATTTGAAGCCTCGGCCTAAATAATGTTATATTTTCCAATTTTAGAATAAGACAGAAAATAATATCACTAAGATGATAATAGTGACGGCAGCATTACTATTGTATAAAGACATCATAAATTGTTGATACAATTAAGAGCCAACTCAAGGACCCACCTTTTCAAATGTGTCTTTTCATTGAATTATATTTTCTTATTTTCTTCTTGTTTTATTCAGTCTTGTGTTTTTTGTGATCAGTTGGTATTAAGAGTTTTTCATAATGAATGATGTGTTACTCTGAGTATTACCTAAAAGGGTGGGTGGGCTTGTATAGTTTACTTTATTTAGTTATCTTTTATTGTTTTTGGGTTTGAACAGTACTTAATGTAATTTGTGTATGAAAAGTGCTATAAAAATGTTATTTAAAAAAAACACAACCATAGATGTAACAATTAAAAACGACAGGAAATGACGATTTCGGTTTATACACCTTCATTAACTCCTGTCAAAATGTATTAATTGTCCATCTGTCTCCCCAGTTCATGGTGAGTGAGTTTTATGGTGATATATTCATTCCTTTGTGTCTAAAACCAGTGATGCGGGACTGACCGTTGGCCATGAGGAATTTGGGGATGAGGTCTACGTTCCAGTCCCTTCCTCGGCCCATGGACTCGGGCGGGCTCTCTGGAAGACTGAAGCGCTTGTACAGCTGTGGAGGATCGACAGTAAAGAGAAACATGAACAACATCCTGTGAAGCTGCATAATGTAAAGCCTCACAAGAGGATTAGACGGTGAGCACATGAAGACAATAAAAACAGCAGCTGGTGCACAATGGCACGGGGAGTAAACTGAGATGTACTGAGGGATATCAAATATATTGATTTGCTTTTATGGATCCCTGGGGGTGTTTTTTTCTTTACCTCCTCCAGAGGGGTGATGGAGGAGCTCTCGCCTCCATAGTAGGGGTTCCTGTCCATGTGCAGGACCTTTTTCCCGTTCACGGACATGATCCCGGACAGAATGCATTCCTGTATGGAACAAAATGTTATAATTAATTACATTGAATTAAAATGAAAATAGATATTCAAGGCTATGCAGAATAGCTACAGTGTGGATAACGCAATACAAAGCTTAAATCCCAGGCTCCTCTAGCAATGCTACATAAACATATATAACAATACAACAAAAAACAATAAGGGTGGGGTCTGTGATAAGGCAATAGGTTTATTGAAGAGGTTATGACAGAAGGCTGCAGGGAGGACATCATTAACGTACTGCGCATGCGCGGTTTTATAGTTTCACCCACGTATCTACTGTCATCATAATACTTATTATCATTTGATTAGTAATACTAATGTATATTCTTAAGAAGAACACCAGCATTATATAATCACATCATAAAATATAAAAGACCATGAATTCAATAGGATATTTGATACCTGTTATACAACTAGGAAAATGTCGACTTTCACGGAACCCAGATTAATATTACTTTTAAATGTATCTGTCGCATTGGGAGTGAGGAGTAAATGAAATTGAGGCGTGGGTATGCTCTGTCATTTCATAAACCCGTGCTCAGGCCTGCGTCAGGATGGAGGCCTGTCTATGCAAAGAGGACCATGACACTGTGGGGTTACGCCTAAAAGATGCTGCTGGGTGTAACACTACCCTGATCCTGCTGCTACGAGAACAATAAAATAACCCCTGGAGGCCGTGTTTCATCTTTTCCTACACATGCATGTCAAAGAACATTCAATTACATTTATCATATTGTAATTTCCTAATGTCATTAAGCCTGGGATGCAGGAGACTTTCACTTCTGCGCTCGGATAGACAAGAGGATAAATGACTCAAAGCAATCATATGGAAGTTGGGACGATTTAGCGTAAAAGCAAATGATGTTTGACTACTTACTGTGAGTCCGGTGCCCAAAACGATCACATCATATTCCTCATCCATGTTGTATCACCGCCTCTCCCGTCTCGCCCTCTTTTTGCCTTGAGAAATAAAGGGTATTGAAGGAAAGAATGAACAGTTCACAAAAACCGGGGATCTAGCTCCCTTTTCTCTGCAAGAGTGCGTCAAACGGCTTGTTTAAAGTTGAGTATTATTTATGAATCGTTAGGCATTGATGACCAATGGAATAAACTGTCCACACTGTCACCGGCGAGGACGACCAAAGATGGCCCTGATCGTGGAGCACTCTAGAACAATGTGATTGCGCGACGGGAAGTAGTGCGTATCCTCCTCTCTTCCCATCCTGCCACACAATGGGCTCAAACTGAAAAGCTGGGTGTAATACGAAACCCTCCGCTGTGAGGTGGCTTTATCCAGCGATTTTACACATGTTTAGTTTCATTTCATACTTTGGCTCGGAGTTTAACATGTTTTTCTATTTAAATACATTTTGTACAAGTCTGTGCTATCTCTATTTTCTTTTTCTATCCTTCCTTTCCAGTTGTAGGTGCAGCGTTACGCGGATGCAGCCAGTGGTATCCCTCCGCCACCACAGCTGTGTGGATGGGAGTTGCTTTCACTGACCTCACGCAGGCCCTTTTCAATAGAGAAAAACTATGTCAAACTTTCATTATTTGCTTTTATGTTTTTCTTTAACAGTGGTTGTAAATGCATCTTATGGTTATAATGGGACATGATGATACGAACAGGGAAATATCAAAATGTAGGAGTGTGTCAGCACCATGGACAGTGGCCAGGTGTACCTGCCATTCATTGTTCAGCTGCAATATAGGCCTACATAGTATCTAAGTATCTATGCATGTCTGTTTATGGCAACCGAAATATTATGACAGTTTATTGTTAAAGCCTCAAATACTTTCGTAAACATTAGCCAGTAGTTGAAGAAGTATTCAGATCTTTAATTTAAATGATCATCACAATGTGAACAATTCCAGTTAACGTGTTTTAGTCAAACCTTTCATAAATATAATAAAATAAAAGTATTTTTTATCGGCAAAATGTACTAAGGTATTATAAGTATAATATGCATTAAAGTGTTACAAGTAAAAGTGTATTATTATGTATTCACATTTTATGTTTCAAACCATAAAGTGCATCTGTCCACTTGCTAACAATCGTTAACGTTAGCATTACAGCAGCAGCACAGACCGGAAGTCCCTGACAGCTAAGGATATCTTCCGGTGTCCTGGCTGAGATAAATTAAACTATTCCTGAGTTTTTAATGTGACCAGAACAATGTGGACAGAGCAACAGAAAGACAGCTGAGTATTTGCACGTGTGGGCAGAGCAGAAGGAAAGAAAGAAACCGGAAGTCCGTTTCTTTCAGCACATGACTGTCAGCTGATTTGCGTCACGTGAGCAGAACTTTGCGGAAATCGGAAAAATGTCTGTCTCGGGGAGCTCGAGTAAAGTGCGATTAATGGCGATGTTTGTGCTTTTATTCGCCCTGTTTTCATCACAGAGCTCCGCTGCTCAAGTGCCACTTCTAATGTGGTCCAGTGAAGGGTAATATTTCATTTATGTTGTTATTGATTCATTACTTTTGACAGCATAACCGGCCAGCTGTGTGTCATGCTAATGCTAACACTTGTTGCTAACTGTTTCTACTTCCAGATTCGACTAGCTAACTCGACCTAAACTAGCTAAATGCATAGGTTACACTTTAATAACAAAGTATGCACCGTTTGGTGTGACGCATTATTTTCATTTCATATGGTACAACACTTCGAAAAGAAACCCGAGTTTGGAAACATTGTTACATATCCTAACTTAAGGCTAGTTTCAATGTAATACATATATATGTTGCCTGTATACAACATTTAAGTGATGCAGTATGATCTAAATTGATTTCCTTTCTAATGATCTGTGCCACACTGGCATGTTTAACAGCTCGTTATTTTTCATATATATGTGCACTGTACACATTTGCACTCTTAACACATTATATATAGCAACTGCCGCACAGCTGTTCCTCAGGATAAATACCACTGTATCATATCTTATATTTTGCACATAATGTAAATACTCTGTTAGTAAACTTTTAGTTTCATCTAAAGAATTGAGTTTAGTTTTTCATAACAGTACAAATCAATTATTTAAAGTCACTTTACTTACATCTAGTGTTTCCATATATGATTTCAGTTGTCTGTGAACAAATCATTTGACTGTTACACTTTATTGTTACTGTCTGAAAGTGTGATGATTACACCCAAACATCACAAATAAAAAACATGTCATAGGTGACCGATGGCCAAATTAGATTATTTGAAATGCTGAATGTACTCAATGTTTATGCGACTTGTATTAGGTTTATACATTGTTTATTTTAATCTTTCCTACGTGTTCAGCCTGCCTCCCCTGGCCTCACCGGCCGCTGGTCACATCACATCCAACGACCAGCTGACTGCCTACCTCACCTCTGCCTTTGGCTCCGGCCCCAACACTGTGCTGCTATTCCTGCAGGACAAGGTCAGTCCCTGAAACCATAAATCTATACTCCTTCTTTACCACAAACATTATAACATATGCCACTCGACATATTGGGCTATGGGTGAAAGGTGTTGAGAAGTAGGACTACTCTTAGATGTTCCTAGATTTCCATATTCATTGAATACAAAGAGAGTTAATGGATATGTGTAAAACAGGGTAGTAATGAGTCAGTGTGTAGTTGCACTGCAGTCCCATGTGACTCTGTGTAACCGTCTTCTCCCTCTGGTGTGACAATGAGCCTCAGCATTACTTCCCCATTCTCAGTTCCTCTCTAACACATTGTCCGGGTCTGTTCTCTGTGGTGGATCGTCATTGTTGTGATAATTGGGATTTTTAACCGTTTTTGTATTGATGATCCTGCGCTCCTGTGTCCTGGATCGCGAGCCCTGGATCGCGAGTCGTGGCTGTGGTCCTGGATCATAAGTCCTGGATGGATATCCTCGTGGATTCATCTTCCTATTATACACACATGCATTTCCAAACATTTGGTCTACCTATGTTGCAAATGTATTATCTTTTCAATTTACACACGGCATCTATTGCACGTCTGTCCGTCCTGGGAGAGGGATCCCTCCTCTGTTGCTCTCCCTGAGGTTTCTCCCATTTTTCCCTTTAAACTGTGGGTTTTCTTCGGAAGTGTTTCCTTGTACGATGTGAGGGTCTAAGGACAGAGGGTGTCGTATTGTCATACTGATATTTTGTACAAACTGTGAAGACCACTGAGACAAATGTAACATTTGTGATATTGGGCTATATAAATAAACATTGATTGATATTAAAAGTAGTCAATGATTATGAAGAAAGATTGTTTATATTGGAACAATGCAAACAACCCCCCCCCTACGTATTTACTGTGCTTCTTGCCTTTCTCTATTCACGGCCTTCCCTTTGCCAAAGCATGAAAGCCCTGTTGCTTATATGTTTGATTAGTGTTATTTGTTCCCCATTTACCAAACCAGGGCTGTTTATGAACACCAGATTATATTTCCGAGCACACACGGAGCGAACAGCCAGTACACTGTGAGGAGATATTCTTTGAATCAGATAAACAATTGACTGAATTAGAATTGCTGAAACTTCTCAAACCCAAATATCGTATCACTTATCTGCTTATGTCGTTGTTGAATTGGATATTTCATTGTCCTTATTTGTGTTCAGCTAAGCAAAGAAGACTTCACGCTGTTTGGCGGAGTGTTTGGAAACAAGCAGGACAGTGCCTTCCAAAACCTTGAGGTAGGTTTTTATAACTTCATACATGACTACTACATAAAGAGGATTTTGTCACACTAATAAAACGTACAATTCCTCCCCTCTCTCCTCTCCAGGCTGCACTGCAGGCTTCCCCCTCCTCAGTGTCGCTGCCTGCTTTAGAGTGGTCCGACTCCTCTGTGATGCTGGCTCTGCTGCAGGAGAAGCTGGATGTCTCTCCGGTGCTCGTGGACGCAGACACTCTGTCCCATCTCAGCATCAACACATCCGCCAGCAACCTCCTGCTCATCAATCTCCCCTACTGCACCGGGTAAGACTTGTGCAGCATCCCAATCAATGGAAGATAAACAGTCTTTTCTGACTCTGTGAAAATTAACATTTATACTGTTTTTATAGCTTGGAAAAGTCTTGCAAGGAAGTCCTGCATGAAAATGGTACGTTTGTAAGGAATAGTGTAAAATAATCAGTATTTCGCTTATTTCAAAGTATATTTCCGATGTGTAACTCAAGTGTATTTTGCTTTCAACAGATGGAATTATTGGGGAGGTTTTGAGTATCATGAAAGATAAAGGTGTCCGTTTCACTGCGATGTACACGGGACTCCAGCCCTCACGAGTAAGATATTTCTACTAGCACATCGTGTTCCAGACTCACCATACATTTGAGTGATTTATATATTTATCCAACAACATATACATATACAGCATTGAGATATTATTCTTGAGATATTATTCTTAACCCTCAGATGCATAAGTGGGTATTTGTTGACCCGGTGAGGTGGTTATCTTGAAGTATCTTTGTAATTACATTTGGTTATCATTTCATATTCCAGCTATTCCTCAAAAAACATGTTTTGGATATCATGCCATTCAACTTTTACATTTAAATGTTAAGAAATTGTAGTTTTTGTTTTACTACCCCAAGCCTCCATAAGTGGATCAAAAATGTGACCCACTTATGGAATTTCGTTTTTTTTCCAAAATGTAACAATTTTTTCTAAAATTATAAATAGTGAAAAATTAAATGTAAAATATTTCTAGTGTGAACCAAAATATAATACTAAATATTATACAAGTGATTTTTCTGAACCAAAATGGCAAAAAAATGGCATAAAAACACATTATTCTAATACGGGTCCTTTTTGACCCACTTATGGAAGAGTGTAGTCACTAAGGGTTAAATAGCTTTTAATTTGTTTTGCACATTCTTACTCTCCCTCCTTGTGTTTATATCAATATTTGTATTCTATTTTTTAATAATCCTTCATTTTTTCCCAATCAAAGTAGAGCTACTGTCCCAAAACCTTATTTCACCCGGGTTAAATAAAGGATTTAGATTGTGATTATCCCTACAGGTGATTCCAGAGAGGTCCATGTCTCAGCAGGCTGTGGGCCGGTCCCTGCTGCAGGCCGTGGGGCCCACAGTCAAAGAGCCCATCATGTTTAATGAGACCGGGAACCCCTGCATCATGCTCTGGGCTCACAGTCTCAACATCAGCCTCACAGGCGAATGGATCGACCTCGCTACACAGACGCCATCGCTGGACGGATCCATTTGC